GATAACACTTTCTTAGTAAAGTACTGATTCTCGTCCTTTTGGGGGTTGAGTCCCGTGTGCTGGCGATTAGGTGCCACACTCTGGCTAGTGTGGGTTCGAATCCCGGACGGGACTCAACCCAAAAATGTATGAGAATCTGAAAGTGTTATTCCAAATATAACATTTGTTACATTTGACCACTTTCTAAATGGCATTGTGTATTCATTATATATTATACTTTTTTAGAAAATCTTCTGTCCAGTACCTGTACCCGTACTTGTAAATAGACTGTAATTATCATTTTTAACATATTGCAATATGGTTCCAAGATAATCAAATACATTTGGAAAACCAAACGGTAAAGGACTGGTTAGATGTATTGCAAAGGACTGGTTAGATGTATTATAAAGAACTAGCTAGGTGTATTGTAAAAGACTGATTATATTTATCATAAAGGACAACTTAGATGTGGTAAAGGACAAAGTCTGATAATGGCCCGATAGAAAAAAGTAAATTACAGAAGTGTTTGAAATATTATTTTGAATGTTATTGGACATATTGATATGACTTTATTTTTTTTTAATGCAACCTTATACGCGAGATAAGAATTTAACATTTGCTATATATATGGTACACAATAGTATATACGTTTTGAAAGAGAGAAAAAAAAGTATGCGCCCAACGTGGGGCTCGAACCCACGACCCCGAGATTAAGAGTCTCGTGCTCTACCGACTGAGCTAGCCGGGCACCTGTTAGAAATTGTAAAGTATGGCAATTTATACTAACTGTGGTTATATAACCCCAAGTTCTACGCACTTTGTTATTTTTTTGTCATTTTAAAACATAAAAATACATTTAAATAATATTGTATTTGTTAACAAGGGACCGCCGTAAGCAATAACACTAAAAGCTAAATATGTATTTCAAACCACGCATGCGCACTTCGTTAATCTGGTTATCCATATCAGTAACGCGACTCGTTCAACGGCCTACATTCCATGATTCTCATGGGCCGAGTACGAGTTTATATTGTACTACCTAATTGAGAAACAGATATTTCTACAAACGAAAAAGAGTTTTGTCAGCTAAATGTTCATTTGGAGAAGTGTTATATACCGGTCTTGTCTTGTCTATTTAAGATATTTAGGGGGGAGGGGGGAATATATTACTTTCAAGTCTCGCTGCGTGTACTGTACAGTAGGCCATATATGGAGATATAACACAGTGATTGTTTGCATCTATGGATATAGGTTAATTATTTACTCTCTTTACAGTATTTATTATAAAGATTGAGATATCAGATAAGCAAATGCGATTGTAAGAGGGATGTCGGACATTTTTTGTCAAAGTACAGGGTGTGTGTGTATTTCTGTATAAATTACCACCAAAGACAATAAATAGATCTTAATTGTGCAACCCCCCCCCCCCCCTCGCCTTTTCAAAAAAGCTGTATCCGCCCATGGACACACATAGATATACATTACATGATAAAATAAGTTTCTTGTTTCAAGTTTAACCTAACTGCTTGTAACATTTAGTCTCAGAAATAGAGTTCTCTTAATCATAAACACATATCTACGAGATAAAAAAATAAATAATTCAAATGTAAACCACTATACATTAAGTATTGAAAATGTGTGATTATCAACATGGTGTCATACAAACACAAGCCACCCCTGAATAGTAGCCTATCATAGTTTTATAGCTCTGGTGTGTTATTTTCGTAATCATATCAGGCTTTGTAATCAGTGCCTTGTCTGAGACATGTATCTTTAGACTGATCTAAATTATAAAACCTGAGTTTTCAGTTGAGTAAAGTTTTGTTAGAATGACCGAATTCATACCAAGTGAGTCTGAATATGCGTCTTGAGTCTTTCAATGGCTACACATGTGAGAGAGAATTTATGGATGTCAAAGCTTCATTATTAGGAACACAATGTTATTTGTATTAGTAAACTGCAACACCGAATGAAAATGTTTAAGTGGTTTGCAAAGTTGTGCTTTTGGCGTTGCGAACATTAACATCTAGTCTCTGAAATGAAATTATGTTACCGATGAAACCGTTGTTAAATTATCTTAATACAATATGACAAAAAGAGCCCAGAGATTCTCTTCATTTTTAGACGAGCCGTTTGGAATATTGCTGAGTGCGGCGTTAAACAACTAACCAATATTTTCAGACGAAACTCCAGTAATCTAGACTTGCCAACAATTATAGACTTTCAAGGGTGGTATTGGGTATATTTGCTCAAGGGACTGTGTGACAGACTAGATGTTGCTGATCTTATGACCATCAGTATAGGGATACCATTATGTATATTTTAATTGGTTGTCCCACTCAAAGCGGCTGCTGAGTCCGATTTCGTGTACAATGAGTAGTGATACCACGCCAAACAACAGTTTTAGCTTTCCCTGTTGTGAACCTTGCTGTGATCTTGCACTTCGCCCAACACTTGCACTCTGTACCATTAGGCTTTAGGGGGTGAGTTGGGATATCGAGCGGTCTCCCGTCATCTTATATTTAAAGTAGTATTTAGTGTATGCCATTATGTTAGCTTTTGTGTTGCCGTTTATGTCGAGAAGGCCCGAGGCAACTTCCGATTCTATTCTGTCTAAGTGCGTATATTTGGGATTAGCTGGAGACAGGGGAATACTTCTTCAAAAGGAATGTTCATTGTCATCCATGGTCTAAGTATTCATCTGTGACGTCAGACTGTGTATACGCAATGATCATCAGCGACACGTGGCTTTTGGGAAGGAATATAGTCTGTCATGCAGACCCTGAAACAAATATATTCAATACAGCCCATACATGTCTATAATATTTGACAAGTCTATATTACTGCAATATCATGAAATTCGAAAATGAAAAAAGTCTCTTGGCTCCTTTTTATTATATTTTATAACTATAACTGTTTTTTTCTGTAAAATATACTCATTTCAGAGACTGGATGTTAGTCTAGGAAAGGAGACTTCAGTTAAACAAATTATATATAGACATAAAGAAGCATGCCGCTCCACACGGACTATGATGTACATACATCATGTGTATAGTATATGATATCATGTATATAGCATCTATAGATTAAACATACTTACACATCAACTGACAGCACGACAATATAATAATAATCAGTAATAACACTGAAAAATAAGCGTTTAGGTAGCGGTCACACCAACGGTGTTTCAAGACTGCATGAGCATTGAAGTGCGTTAGATTGTCCATGTCAAGGGCGTGTAGAAATAGGAGTATTTTTCTTTATTAACTATGTTCACCTGTAAGAATGTTAGTACGCTTAGTGAACTCTCACACCATATCAGTTATGATGGTGAGTAGCATCCATATCTATATATTTTTATAATCCCTTGTTGTTAAAAATATATCCTGATAATCTTTCCTCACAATAAAATAAAAATGAACTTTAATATGCTACATTCAAACTTTCTGAACTTTGCATGCAGGAGATGCCATCCCACAAAACAATGACGCTTCGCATTTCACAGGGCGTTAGACAAACATGTTACGTCACGTCCCCTGGATGCGGGGTATTAACTATAGCATCCTCATAAAGGTGTTGAGATGTGTTTGTAATACATACCTGTACTTCCGGGGATCAGTTCTAATTACACTGTCTATTCACAACAGGCATCGGGACAAGAGGGACAAAGTGTATGTTACATAATGAGGTCATAATAAAGTCAAATTAATGAAATTCTTACTCCTATGGAATATCTGCATTTAATTTATATAATAAAACAACTATTAACACTAAAAAAATAAATAAAATATTCCGCATGAAATCACGCAGTATTAAGATATAAAAACAAATTTAACAGGACATATATTTGGTGTGTCACAAGATTCCCAATATTAACGTTTGAGTCATAATTCTCATGGTTTAAAAAAAGAAAAAACAAATTTGCATATATACCTCTTTTAAATGGCTACATATTTCTGTCATGTGACATGGTATTTTTGTTTATTTTTTTAAATTAAGAAGACATGGGGTTTCAACAAAATAATAACATTATATTTTTTTCTATAAAAAAAACTGAAATAATCAGCATTAAATGATTACACTGCCTGCCGGGAGAAAGGCATTTGAAAATTGGATTGGACCAACGTTATCAAAACGTCACAAGGCTGAAAACAAAACACAACTCTGATAACTGTATGTCAAACACATGACCATCGAATAAGTATTTAAAAAAAGTAAAGCCACCATCAACTGACAGAAATGACCCTCCCGGGCTGATCATGATATACCTGTATATGTCATATTTCGTGATGACCCTCCCCATGTCCTTGAACATTTACCGATGCATATGTGTATTATTTTTTATGACCTTCCTCTATAGATACTGTCATATTTTTGGGGTGACCCTACTCTGATTCCCTTTGACGAACACCTCCCCCCAAATAAATGAGCGATCTCTTACGTAGTTTCTGGGTTAGACCATCCTTATCACACGCAAATCAATACAAAAATTACTAATAGAAGTCATATTGTGTAATACATCCGTAATGTACTTTTTATGCAGTACCAGTTTCAAAAAAGATATAAAAAGACCGTTTTATTTATGTCATGCTTGAAAAAAATTAAGAGAAAAACGTGATGGTTTGAAATTCGTATTGCGATTTGGTCATGCGCATATTAAGATGTGCCTCATCTTGATACCAACGAACCGAATAAGACATTTAGGTCAATGACAAAGGTTCTAATTAAAGTCTAATTTCATTTTGAAACACGTATTAATTACAATCCACGCGACATTTCACCGACTTGTAATTTTTAGACGCTTTGGTCAAAATAGAACTTAGCTGCTATGAAAACATTGAAGTTGCTTGCATATTGTCTGAATGACATGGTATTCCCAATGTGTCAAAGCGACAGACCGAGTTTACATTGGCTGAGAAGTGATTGCTCAACATGCTAGGGATTTGCTTGATCAGATCGTGGCACGCGAGCATGTGCGTTGGTTAAATATCCACAGTCCGGGCCCCTGTCAAAACCGCCCGAAACCGCATGCGCAGTGCTTCTTTCACATCTGGAAATTTGAACACGGCTGGGTGACGGACTAACCTACTATCTACCCCAGGGTCGATCCAGAGTCTCGGGACTGAAACGGGGAGTACTGTTTCCAGGGCGGTTTCACATTTTCTAATTGCATGGATCCAAGAATTGCTTGGTATCCACCGGAACATCTGGGACATGCACATGATCTATGGACGAGAGTCTGGGAAGCTCAGATAGGCGTGGACAACATGTATTTGGGACCGGACCAGAAAGATTTCATTCCTTTGGATGGGGGTAATTTCGACAACCCCAACATAAATAACAAAAAGAACAGTGATGTAAATAACCATCATCACCCACAGAAAAGGAAAAGAGAGAACCGGGCGAGTACGTACGGTTTAAATCACTCTACTTACAAGCACCTATTGGGTGAAGATGGCGGCCTCACCCCCTGGAAACCCAAGGACAAAAATTACGGCTCCGGAGTTATTATTGGGTAAATATCGATAACGTTTACGATTCATTATGTTTTGGTGATATATATTTGCCATGTGTAGTCATCATATATATATTTTTAGAGCTGCATGTGTGTTCGAAAGTTGTTCCACGCTCGCCGGTGGTTGCACAACAACTTGGCGACACACGCTTATTCAGCCAAATTCGTGGCTATTTTTCGAGATGACAAACGGTCCATATGTAGGCTTTCCTTGAACGATATGTACTTTCGTTTTACTAGCAGTGTATGAAATCATGAAGTAAGTGAAGGATTTGTCAAATAAGGCTACAACGTTGGTCAAATTTGTAACCCTAGTGCGACTGCCCACGCATAAGCCAGAAGCCTTGACATTGTCAATCGCTTGGCGAGCCATTGAAGGAAAGATTCCGTGTAAACAACCACGATGACCCTGTTTTGACAGCGAGGGTCGGATGGAGAGGCGATGTTAGAATTCCTGTGTCGAATTAGCGTTGTCAGTTGCGGTGTTTATACGTTATTTCAGCAATTGTTATTAATTTTGGGGTTCATTAGTATGAATAGACATGCCGAGTGCGCATTGCTTTTCGCTCAGTTAGCTATGAAGTTGCGGGCCGAAGTTGTAAACATGACATTTGAAGACCGGGCGGTGGATGTACAAATTTGTTTGGTAGTCGGCACCTGGCAAATCCTACTCCCTCGTATTTCAGTTGTTAATCCTAAATGATTATATAAAAGTTAGATTTCAGAATCCTTTGAAAGAAAAACTGACCTCATTTCAACCTTTGGTGACCGATGCCCTTAGTACAATTGATTGCCAGGTGTAGGCCTAACACTTTCATGATTTCACGTTATATCATTTGAATCAAGACAAGATCTATTTTGTCATAATTTTTACAAAAGTGATTACAAGGGTATTCAGTAAATGCCGAGAATACACAAAATCATGATGCAGTCTATTCACAGGCCAGAAAGTTGGACCAATTTATTTTCCAGATTTTTCAGACTTTCCAGGTGAATATGCAAAGATGTAGGAGAATAAGAGATACAAAAAAATAATCAGTATATTGTTCCTTTGATCTTAAGAGTGCCTTTTTCCACCCATAACATGTTAAAAGCATATTAATTAAATTCAGGACAAAACTAATCATGCTAATATTTGAAGCAACTATTGTATTTTGTTGTTATCATTGACAAGTACATTTTGATCAGTCGCACACACATAAGAGAAGATTTGACCAATCCCAGGATAATGAAAGTTGAGCATAGAGAACAGTGAGATACTGGATGCAAACATTAAGTGATGTAAAATGGATTGTTTTGTCATGTGTTGGACATCAGCAGTAGAAACTAACAATTTTTAGTCCACTAGTCTGTATGATGAAAATATAGCAAATGCTGAAAAATGAAAAATTTCATCTAGTCCTTATGACACCTTAACTATTGGGCAGTTTGGCAAGGACTACAGGACTAGTGCCACTGGACATGTTTCTGGAAGTGCTATACTTACATGCTTTAGTATTGTTAACACATTGTGCTGTTCCAGTCTACACAATGAGATAAAGGACTTCTTCCACTACATGTCCCCACGCCCTGAGGAAGAGCGGATGAGACAGGAAGTGGTCGACCGAATCAGGGGAGTCATACACGGACTCTGGAAAGATGCCAAGGTAACTCTATCTGCTAGTTTATCTACTGGCGACAGGTTCCTGTTTGACCAAATTGTCTTGGTATATGTACCAGTACATGATGCAGTTAGTACATATCAGACATGCTTCATGGTCAACATTGGTCACTAACCACATTACAATAAATACAACTCAAAAAGGTAAAGGGCCAATCAATTCTTTTCTCTTACTATAGTTATGCTATGCCATAGTATATAGACTATAGCAATATGAAAGAATCTGATGGTCCTTGTTAACGTTCTTGAGTAGTATATATTGTAATTTGGTTAATTGACGATGTTTACCTAATAGGCATGTCTGATGATAAAGATCTTGTGAGTTGTCTATGAAAGTGTGAGCGAGTTAGGTTTCATGGCGCTATATACAATATATCTTTTTTAGAGTAGTACATATTGAATTTCTAATATGGATTTGAACACCACATATTGAAGAGTTCTCGTGTGCTACTCAACACATTTCTTTTGGAATTTCTCACGTTGTGATTGAATTTGAATGTCACTTATTACTTGGAAATGTTGTCATTTGTCATACAACTTGTATCTTTAAGACATTGGCCTGAAATATTTTTAACATAATACATTCTCTTGTTGATTTTTTATCAGATTGAAATATCAAAAGTAGTATTTGAAACACAGAAAAGTGTCCTCCTTTGAAATCAGGGTCAATAGGAGGCCCTGTACACCCCAGTGATCATGCTTTAAAAAACTGACTTACCCATCATTGTTGATAATTTCTCATGCTGTCGACCAGAAGTGTCTCATGCAGAATTGTTTACAGGCTGTATTGATCTGGAGCTCTGAAATGTATATGTTCCATTTTGGCATATATAACAGGTCATTTCAATCACCATGATCAACTTACCTTGTGTGAATTGGGTAGAAATGTTGCAAACTAACTTTTAGCATGTACCGGGGTGTTTTATCAACAAAATAATTGTGCATTTAGATATCCAAACTTGTCGTGCTTGTGGACTGTGGAATTAGTCACACTCAATCTGAAAATAAGGAATAACCAACTTTAGCCAAATAGTTATATGATTAACATGGTAAATTATCATCATTACAAATAGAATCTCTATATATGAAAATATGTCCATATGATGGAAGCATGGAACTATTGGCCAGTATGGCAAGGACGACAGGGGTAGTGTCCATTTCTAACGCTGTTAATGCAAGTCGTATTAAACATGTATCTTAGGCATCTCTTCAGCAAATAGTTTCATGTCTGTTTGTGCAGACATCTTTTGTAAATACTACTATTTCTATACCATAGCCTGATGCCCTATTCAAAGATTGTAATATACTAACTAATAAGTTGTATTTATGTTCACCCGCATATTATGATATTAGGTTTCATGTTGAAAGCTGATTTAATTACAGGTACCTGGATACCTGCTCTATTTTGATAAACAGATGATAATCTATAGGATAATCTAAAAATAAATGCCATTCACAAAAGAATGGGAGATACTTGTCAGTGACCAGGTATACTTTAGGGTAGGTCTTTCAAAAACATTTTCTCAGGAAGCGATGTTTTTGTCGTGACCTGATCAGGTAATGCAATTACCAATGTCATTGGGGTAATGATATAATTGACTACATCTGATTGTTTCTATTTAGTTTCGTACCAATTTTTGTGTGACATCACTGTGAACATCTATTGCCTTCTTTATACAGGCTGAAAAAGCACATCTGGTTGTAATATAGACTTGATCTTCAGCATCTCATGCTTGTAAGAGATGACTAACAGAACAATGGCTCACTGTTGCATGTCATCATATCCAAATTGTGTAGATCACAAGATTGTCAGGCCCAGACAATTATTTTCAGACTGCAACTGTCATTTTGCTGGAAAATTGTTAGATGCGGCATTAAACAAATTCTATAACCACTGTGGAACCATTGTTATAATATTTTCATTAAGGGTTTAGGGTCTAGCGGATATCAAAATGTTCTGGAATGAGAACCCTGGCAAAGCTTGTGATGGTTGGTGTATATCAACACTTGTACAGTACAGCTGTTAGACTTTGCAGCTAAAGCGAATTACATCTAATTTTTTTTAAAAAGTTCTGCACATCATTCTTTCAATTTCCTATTTTTGTGGTTTTATTTTTTAGGTGGAGATCTTTGGGAGTTTTAAGACTGGTCTATATCTCCCAACAAGGTTAGTACTGAGAAAGTTTACTGCTGTCCTACTCTTTGTGTTGTGTAAACTATCAGGCCTTTTTTTCAAGTATAACAAGTCTCATTAAGAAAGAACATATATATTTCCAAACACCCTGTCTCATATTAAGGGGTTATGCTGTTCGATTTAGGAAGCTCAAATGGATGTTAGTGTTTGTGGTATGTAATTGGAAGGAAGTACCAAGGTAAAAAATTGAATAGTAACACTAACAGCATCAGGATTTATATGTTTATTGGTTGAAATAATTTTTGTAAGTTGATATGGATACCACATTTTACGAGTGAAACCTTGTTCGTTAACTTAAGCAATATTAGAACTGTATTGTCAATTTCAGCGACATTGACATGGTAGTGACGGGCGAGTGGGAGTCAATGCCGTTGTGGACGTTGCACTCAAAACTTGTCGAGAAGGGAATTGCAGATATAACCAACATCAAGGTGCTAGATAAAGCCTCCGTAAGTGATTTAATCTTTTCATTTGTAATTGTAAGCCACTTTGAAATTTATCATTACTAAAGAAAATGTAAAAAGGGAAATAATTCTTTACCTAAGCACATTGCACAGAACAGCACTTAAGATTTCTTTAGATATGAATGCATATGAGTGCATACTTGAATAGAATTCTAATCACAAGAAAGACTGATAAAGGAAATAATGAAAAAGACAGTTTTTAACAGTTTTTAGTTAGGAATGCTTTCAATGTTACCAGTACACCTTAGAGTTAGGCTTGATTGATGTATATGCTGTTGTAGGTCCCTATAGTGAAACTGACTGACAATGCCACAGAGGTGAAGGTTGACATCAGCTTCAATATGGTTCAAAATAATGGCGTTGAAAGTGCTAAACTTATCAAGGTAAGTGTCACTTGGTACACATGTTATTTTTAAGCTGCAGCTACTGCTTTTTTAATGCTTTCACAAAGTATTCTCTCTCAAAATCATGACGTAGTTTACTGAAATAATTTGTGAACTAATCCTGTGTAGGTTGTTATTGATGTTGTGACAAGCAGACAAATTTAACTTTCATGCAACTTATGAATGACTGGTTGTTGCTGATTGTGTTGGGTAAGAATTGATTTTGAATCTTAATCTCAACAGCAGCAGCTTTGACCTAAATCAATACACAGATAATGTAGATATGTTGATATCATTGCAGGAATACATGGCCAAGTATCCCAACCTCAAGTACCTGGTGCTAGTGCTCAAACAGTTCCTGCTACAGCGAGACCTCAATGAGGTGTTCACTGGCGGGATCAGCTCCTACAGCCTCACTCTGCTCACTGTCAGCTTCTTACAGGTATGTACTTGCTGTCCTTGACTAGCTTCCTGTCCTGGGGATTCTGGGGAAGAATAGGTGCACAGAGACTTATGGGGTTTCTTTGTCATTCAACCCAACATGGGTCCATGGACTGAATACCCAGCAAGTGTGTGATGTTTTTCCCCAAGGGGGAATTTCGGGCAGATTCAGTTGCAGTTGCCCAGCGCTTGTGTCTTCTTGGATATGGGGCAGAATATGACCCAAGTTCCCCATGCTCTTTATAAATAGAGTGCGATCGGGTAGCCTAGTGGTTAAAGCGTTCGCTCGTCACGCTGAAGACCCGGTTTCGATTCCCGACATGGGTACAATGTGTGAAGCTCATTTCTGGTGTCCCCCGCCGCTATTGCTAAAAGCGGCGTAAAACCATACTCACTCACTGGTCTGATGGTTCTTACTCCAGTGAACTCACACAGTGAAAGTCAGCTCTTAAATAAATGTCCTTCTTCCAACTGTTTTTGCTGATGAATGTCCCAGTCACGCCACTTTGCGAACTTTGACCGACCACTGAAATGACTAACAAGAAGTAAGCATCAGCTAATTTAGAAAGCAGCTTTTCAAGCCTTCTGGGACTCATTTCAACCGCGCAACTTCCATTCCAGGCTACACTTGAAAAATAGGTTGACACAGTTGTCGATTTAGATTTTGAAAACTGAGCAAATGTATGTCTTATATATGGTTGAGATTGTCTGCCAGTGCTTCCCACGTACTGTACAACGCCTCCTCCATTCAAATGTTTATCCCGCGGAAGCGAGAGATGGTCGATAGTTTTGACAGAATCAGTCGTACGGGTTGTAACTGTCATTCGGAATACCCCATGTTAACGTTTTCGAGGTTGCATGATTAGAAAACACATTCCGACTGTCACTTTACCGATCTGGTAAGCGACGCTTTGTTTGATTGGATGAAACTGAAAGGTCGTTTTGACATGACCCGTAATGGGATGTTCTCAGATCTTTGTTAAGCGATAACAGGAACTAAAATCTGATTTTAATGAGTTTTTGTATACTGAATATCTTACTTTGTCTTGTAGCTGCACCCCAGAATAGATGCTCAGCTGCCTGAGGCCAATCTTGGAGTTCTTTTGATTGAATTTTTCGAAATGTATGGACGAAATTTCAATTACCTGAAAACTGGGATACGAGTGAAGAATGGTGGTGAATATGTCCCCAAAGAAGAAATAATCCGAGAAATGGAAAATGGCTACCGTCCATCCCTACTGTGCATTGAAGATCCTTTGACCAAAGGTAAAAGGGAGATAATTCTTTCTTATGTTTCAAAGATGACACATTTTTAAGAACTAAACCAGGACTGGCATTGGCCCAAATGCATACTAACTTAAATGAAACTAAAAACCAGAAATGACTTTTGTTTTTTCTTTCTTACAAAACCTGCTATGATGTTGCAGTATTCATTTGCTAGGTATGCTGTCCTGACCCAGGTACCTAGGAATCATCCCAGACTACTAATACATTATCAGAATAAAGATAAATCACAAATTCTAAATAAGTGATTAAAAATGATTTTTCCTTGGCTAGGTCAAACAGTTTCTCCAACTTGGGTAACAGATTCCTGTGGTGTTCCAAACTTCAGAAAAAAACAAAGGACTTCACTTGTTTGCCAACTTACCACCATAAGCCTTGTATGCAAATATGACGTTTTGTTTACAGAATGTCTAGTATCATTGTTGTAAAACATGTTTGGTATACAGCATTTTTGTATAGTGTAATAGAAACAAGTTATTTCAGAGACAAGGCAGATAATTCACATTTAACTGTTTCTCCTCCAGGAAATGACATTGGCCGCAGTTCATACGGAGCAATGCAGGTGAAACAAGCCTTTGAGTATGCATATCTGGTGCTCAGTCATGTCTGTGTCCCCCAAAATGCATATCTTGTCCGTACTGGAAACCAGAGGTATGTCCACTTTGTCCCTCACTTTAACTGTGTGCACATACCGTATTCGAAGTAATAAGCGCCCAGGGCACTCACAATTAAGAACAGGGGCTCTTATAAGAATATTACTTTGGTGAAAAAAACAGTGTTGAAAGATAAATTTCGTGGTTTATGCTGACAGCCTGAAATGTTTATATACGAAATATTTAGAATATAATTGCCCATAATTAAAGGTACATATAACACATGAGTGTGTATTATACAGGAATAAATAAGTCTTGTGTACATTGATGAATTGGAAGGGGTGCTAATTGCGATTGTTCACTAGCCAATATATTAGCAAATTTCGACGTGGGCGCTTATTAGAGCGGGGCGCATATTACGTCGAATACGGTCCATATCTGCTCATTATTTGATACTGATAAAAATAACTATTATAACACTTCTCACCGTACTGTAATGTCAAATAAGGTCTCCTGCTCTAAATAGGCTTCAACCTGTTCTGATGTGTATTATGATAATTGTTGTAGCTAAATAGGTGGCAGATGCTGAAACAAACGAACTGCCTTGACATTACATATTGAGTTTAAATTCATTAACATCAGTGAATTCATAAAATCATTAGCATGATTTAGATTTTAACGGTTTAGTAAGCTATAAAATATACCAACTGTGTGAGCATGGTGTTAAGTATTTTGATGACTGTTCACAGCATACTCGGTCGTATCGTGCGTGTGACGGACGAGGTCGTTGAGTACAGAGCCTGGGTTCAGGAGAACTTCCACTGTCAGGAGGTTGCCCCGTGTAATCTCAACCCGACATATGCTAGCGTTGTAGCTCCTCAGATACCCCAGTTCAGCATACAGTGAGTATTCAAATGTTGGCAATATTCAGTTGCTTTCTTGACATCAGTCTTACGTCCTGTAGTGACTGAACCCATTTCTTGATCCACCTTCTTACCTGATATATGAAAAAAAAGTAATATACTCGGCTTTGTCTTTCATTGGTTCAATTTACAGGGATGTGAATATTGACATTATTTTTCATATTGCCTATTGTATAAAAATTGGTAATGAATAGTGCTTTGTAGAAAGTTGAAATCATGGACTTGGCCTAAGGTCTCAAGATCCCTGCATCACTGTAATTGATTGTACTCATTGCATTTTTTAAGAAGTTGAGCATTTGTATCCTCCATGTCCCCATGTCATTATGATGTGCTGTTATCAGTTAGCCATCCTATTTGTCTGAACATTCATGCAGTGTCCATGTTCGTCGTTACATGTATGTTAAATTGTGTTTCTGTTCCAGACAACGTAACAACAGCAATAACAATAGCAACAACAACACAGCGTTTCTACACAAATCTAGTCTTGAGCAACAGTCAACGGGTGACAGTGAGAACTCTGACTACTCCGGGAACAGCTCTGGCTACAAGTCCTCTGCTAGCTCCAACGCTGTAAGCTCAGCCTCCAGCACGACCAGTGACACAGTAAGTAACAAGGAAAGCTCAGTAGGGATTCAGAGCGAGAATAGGTCTTATGCTGGTTGTAAGCGACGACTTAATGGATTGGTACAGCCTCCGTCGTCTCCATGGTCTGCCCGGAGAGCGGAAGGTTGGAGGATGGATCCCCAGTTGTGGCATACTAAAGATGGTATTTGTTACCCTGCCTGGCACTCAGCATTTTTTACAGCTACATTGACATCATTGCTGTATTGCTTATGTAAGACTTAATCTCAAATCCAACTGTCAGAATATCATTTGTCCTGTGATAGCTCATAATGCATTGGTAGTGTATGGAACTTTTTTCATGACATTGTTTTTCTTTCTACCAGGATTCGGATACAAACCCTGATTCTCAAGTCCCTGTTGTGCGTGGCGGAGCTGTTAAGCCGGGACGTGCAAGTTCTGTGCCTATGCCTAATCGCGAGTTCAGAAGCCGGGACTATCACAAACACAACACCCCCTTATCAAGAGACGCTAGTAACAGTAGCGTGTCCTCCACACGCTCACTCACCTACCCTCATAGGTCACCCTCAGTGTCGAGTAACAGTAACTATCATGCCCCCTCGGGGGGAACAGACATGCAACATGGTCGTGAACGGCATCACAGTGGGGCCTCGTCAGGCCAAGGCAAGACATATCGGAACCAGCATGTTACCAGCAAGGTCTTCAGGCCCAGTGGGGGGAAACGCCGGAAAAACAACAGCAATCGCAGAGACAATCCCTCCAATTCTGGGAATAATCACAGATGATAGTTGATAAATGTGCTACTGACTGAGTGGGAACTTCACCAGTGAATGTGTGCTATGCTGCATGTGTGGAGCCTTCTGATTGGTTGGATCCTATTCACTGTCTCTGTGCATTTGCGACATTGTATATTTTGTATATTTTTTATGATGTGTGAGTGAGATCCGTGGGATGGCTGCCTGCCTGCCAACCTACCCTGTGTGAGTGCCTGTTCGTGTGGAGACGTGCTTACAGTGCGTTGATGTAAATACTCTGACATGGGAACTGTGATCTACTGTACCAACAGCAATGGCAGCCCAAGGTTTGTCCGATTAGACCTGCAATGCTGGAATCTCATTGGCTGGCAATTCATTGCCCTCTTGTGATTGTAATTGCAAACCTTGGCTTTTTGAATTGGTGCACTTTATCTTTACTTCTGTCCTATCTCGTCAGTGCCAACGTTGACCAACATAATGATTTAGATGCTGTTTGACTGTTTGTTTCCGCTTTCTAGTCTGGTTGCAGACTTAACAAAATGTCAAGTCTCTGTTTGATATTACTGCACTGTAACCATGGAAACAGTACAGCATCCTGACAGAAACACTTCTGAAAAATCATGGATCTTATGGTGTTCTTTTATTGAAGATTGACATGTATCGTCAGAAGTGTGTGTTAATACAGTATGTCCATTCGGATCTGAATTTGGCAAGAGCATTTTCGTTTGGTGTTACAGGTAGGCTCACACTTGGGTCTCTGGTTTGTGAATCCAAAAGATGAAATCTAGCCAATATTTGAGAAAACGTATCTTTCTGATTGTTATCAGTACAAAAGTTTATTACACCATTTTTAAATCACTGATTAATTAAGATTTTTTTATACAGTTAAAATTAGCTTTGATAATGACATTCCCTCTGTGATCTCAATTTTGACACATCTATTTTTCCCATATCTATTAAATTTTCTAGTTGAATTCAACAATATATGATAAATGAATAATTATGTTTTGATAAGTGCAGAGATCAGATCAGTTACAAATGTTTAGACAAGACTATTGAGGAAATGTCAATGACTACTTGATAACAGTACTTTCTCTGCTGTTACAGTGTTCAGTGTAGCAACATAGTATTACTATTCACTTTGGTTGCATATTTGAAGGAGAATAATTTATTACACACAAAATATATAGGTCACAGATGAACCTAATCAAAACTGTATGAATCGGATAAGCCTGCTAAGAAAAGAAAACATAATCAGGAATACATAGTTTACCTTATGTTTTATTTCATCAAGATCAGTTTCAATCGTCTTGGAACGGTTGAGTTGACTAAAAATGATTAAAAAAAAAAGCAGATCTGTTATTTCAATTTTAAAAAATCATTTTTGTTCATTGTTTTGTTTGTAATGTCTATGTTAAGAAAATAATCCATCAGTGTTTTAGTTTCTTTCTGGGGCTATAATGAAGTACAGTTGTGCACTGAATTTTTTTATTTTTTTTTGGTTGTCCGTATTTCACCATGTTTGCAGTTCTGGTTATTATTATATATGATAGAAAACCAAAAATCATAATCTTGAAAATGATGTCAGTTCCTCTTTTTACCTGTTAATCTGATTGATGCACACATGGTGTATAACATTACATATCACGCTCTAGTTCTTTGTGGACTTGAGCTTAGCCAGTAAGAGTTCATCAAATTATTGTATTTGTAATATATTTCCACATGATTGATTAAATAACCAAAGAAAATTCATTAATACTACAAGCCCTTTCTCTTTCAGAAGTATGTACAACATTGTTTAGATGTTTTATCAAGTGTAGACCCTCCTTTGTAGGGTTCACTGACAAGCTGTGTTGATTGAGCCTGTTGGGTTGGACCTTGGTATTGACTTAAGGCATCTCAACACTTACAAACTCAGCTACAATCTTTTGTTACTTTGACTTATAATCATATTTGGTTTGATCATTTTCACATGTAAATAATCTGGGTCCATTGGTGTATTTCTTGTTCACTTTTGACACTAATGAGCTTTCATCATGCCGTAAAATTGGTTTTAAGTTTAATTCAAAGTACTGAAGCTTTCAAGTTCATGCCTTGTGTGAAATAAATTGAGGAGACAGGTAAAATGTTTCAATTTCTTGAATCGGATGATGAATGGAATTGAGAAAATTGATTTGCTTGTAGTGACTCTATTTATCTTGCAGGGTACAGCTTGCTTGTTCGGAATCTTTCACTGTTGATAAACGATTTTATTTCAGGAATCTGTATCCAGATGTGTTGATTTCCATGGTAACTGTAAAGAAATCCAATCCAATGTTAGTCTTGTCTTTATTATTTATGTGTACTCTTCAATTAATTGAACAAGTATATTCTATTTGCTCTATTTGAGAAGATTATGCATGTGTATGAATGGTTTTAAATCAAAGGGATTTACAAATCACTACATGAATATATTCAAATGGTTATTCACAAGAATATCTTCAGGTGTCTTTAAAACTTACATGTGATTTGTCATGATTATTTTGCCTTGTTGAAACATAATTATGCTCTGTCCATCTCGTCTATCTAAACCCTGAACGCCCTTCCCCGGCCCCAAGCAGACTCCCCCTCGCCCACCCCCTCCACCCATGCAGACTCCCCACCCCCTCCCCCTTCACCATGCAGATAATCCCCCACCCCCACGCTGTGCCCTGGATGAGTTAACTGCTATGCAGTATTGTATATGTTATATACAAATGTACAAAGTATCATGCATCTAGATGTACATATTGTTGACAACCCAAAAAAAAAATTGAAAATGACACAAGTCACAAAAAAGCATTTTATGTACATATTAAAAAAATGATCTTGTGTTTTTGAATGTTGAGAAGCAGTATTTTCTCTGTCTATTTCTGTCTTCACTCTGTCTATTGTTTTGTCTTTCTATCTGTTAGCTTCTGTCACCAAAAAAAGTTTTTTTATGATTTTAATTTTGATGAGAATGTTGATTTATTTTAACATGTTATCCTAAACTAAACAACAGTAAGCCAGGTTATGCTCACTGCTGTAATCTTGTTTCAAAATTGTAATTGTGTAATTGATATCAGCTTATTCTGCCAGATGTGTTTTTTGACGTTTAAAAAAAATTAAATTTAGAATGGGTTAGAAAGGAAAAAATTGGGTTTTTATTTACTGTTTTAAAATTAATGTTCATTGAATTTTCCTGATGTATTTTGGGTGAATGCATGAACTTACAAGCAGGAATTTATTAAGCGAGGTTCTCTTTTAATAAAGCAAATTTTATGTTAATGGTTAATTAGGCCAGTTCAATTTTGGTTGTTTTAGAGATTTACTGCCAGTATGTGATTAAATTAGTTAAAACAAAGTAAACTTAAAGCCAAGCTTGACTAAGGAACAAGAATGTCCAGGCCTTAAGAACAATTTGATGCATGGTAAAATCTTTAAATGAAATGAATTAACATTCAGTCAAGAATAAATTCAACTATATAGGCTATGTATCTGTTGTAAGACTCTTCAATGCTTTAATGAAAAGCAGTGGGGAAAATAGGATCGTTCTTTTATTAACCCGTTGATCAAATTTAGTGATTTTTACTGAAAAATGGCATCAAAGGATTGCTTTTTATCTCTTCACTTGTTCAGTATGTTTGAATTCACATGAATTAGATAGAACCAGACTTTCAGAATACATTTTAAATAACACAAGGTAATTATAAGAGTCACAAGATTTCTATTTCAAGTGTAGAGTAAAAGTGTAGCATTTTCATTCACCAATTCTCAATCATGAAATGTATTTTGTCATTAGAAATATGGAAATAGTATATTTAGCTTTCCAGTACTTGTGGTCATGTGTAATTTACGGTGTTGGAAATTAAGCATGGAAATCAAGGGGTCCTTGTCATAACCCTAACGTTATATGTTCAGAGGCTCCCAGATTCAAATAGAATTCAGTAGAACACCCCAAGGACCCCATGACCCCTCTTAATTTTGAACACTGGGCTAAAAGTACATGGAATTAGGATCATACTGTACTATAAGATTGCCTAATTTGACAAGGCTGCCCTGTCATGGTACTGACAAGTATTCTTTGTATTGAATCTGTAGAAATGGCTATATAAATCCAACTTAAAGAAATAACTTGTTCTGTAGTCGATCATTTCAAGTACAGATATCCAGTAAATAAATTACATGTTTTTCACAGTGGAGTACAGACTGTGACAGTTGTACGACTTTAGAGTAGGTGGATTGATTATAATCAGAATTTAATTGGCATGGTGTATTGTGACCATGTATGCACATGCAGTCTCCTTATGAGGGCTCTACACAGATATAGTGGTTGGTACATAATTGTTACAGTAAATACATTTTGGGTCCAAGATTAAGTCCATAGTGAGGGCCTCTGAACCATTTTGCCATTTCGGTCGGTGCTGCTGCGATGCTCTTAGTCAGATTGATTGACATCCGCTATATTTATATCTTTATAATTTGTTACAGAACTTGTGTAATTGTCATTAAAAATGGCTATTTGAATCATTGGATTGATTGGACCGGTTCCTAAAGAGTGAATGTGGTAGCTCTAGCCATTTGATGTTTTGTACCTCAGAAGCATAAAAAGTGCAATAAATAGATCACTTAAGTTAATCTGGTTTAAACCAACAGTACAGCCATGTAGATCATTTATGTAAATTTTAATTCAATAAACATTTCATGCTGATAAATTACCTGTGTTTGTGTTGATGTTTAGTTTTGCTGCACAGTCTTGTAGCAGCTCCCTGTGGTCTGGGGACAGGGGCCCAGTGTGCAATTCACTGAGTTGTGTCCCTTTGATGACCTCTACTGCAGATTTTGGATGGTTACGCCAGATTCGCCCTGATTATTATCATTGGTTTGTCAGCACCATACACTTGGTCACAAATATGGTGGAAAACATGTTTATGTCATGCCTTGTAGTGATTAAACTGTAACAGGTGTCGGTCCGAAATCCCCCAAAGGCCTTTTATTTAAACGAGAATAGAACAATAGTTTATTTAGTACATGCCTGTACTATGAATGAACTGAGATCAGCCCCATTCCAACTAAGTGAATTGGCAACAGAATATCCTTTTCTTCGTATAATGATAGTGATTACCATGGAAAGTACTCTAAATAATTTGTGCATAACTGTGAATACACGTGGCAATTTGAAATTCAGATTAACAGCTTTCATCGTTTTCTTGGCTCCTCTCAGTGCAGCTTCATCATCTCAGTGGACAATCGGCTTCTGCACCTGGATAACGCCTAGGTTTCCATCTGTGTCCTCCACCTTCGCTTCTCTGAAGTAAGGATTCAGTTGACAGTAATTCAATAGGTGGAAGCCGGAAATTGCCCCCTTTAGTCGGCAATAAATAGATATTAACATATTCATCAAAACTGCTGAAAGGATTGAGGCGAGAGGCACGTTATTTTGTCAATGAAATGCCGGGTCATAATTATGGGTGCAGATGATACACATTTTCTGGCTTTCAAACCAAATTATTATGTTTCGACCAATGAGTGCTTTATAATGAGGTGTGTAACATCCTTTATAATGATGATAGGGACATCAGACACAGGGTGGGATCAAAACACATTCAAACTCAACAGAAAAAAACCACGTGATTGCTGATTGTATAACGTCACTGAAAGCGTAAAGTTAAGATGACGTGATTTTATTTGTTACCCATTGGGTTAGAAATATCCGAGCTGATCAAAATCGTATGTGCAGTAGAGCAAATATCACTTCATTATTCATGGCATTGTTGACGTCATCTCGAATCTTAGTGTGACATATCGGAATGACGTCACACAAGAAACGACGCCCTTGATCAAGATTGTTTACGTCATTTGACAATTGTGGTTTTCAAAGACGGCGGTCGTAATTTTCAACAGGGGGCTCAAAAGTATGAAGAAACAATGGGGGAAGAATGTGTGTTAAACTGATTTTACGAAATTCATGTTTTACCCCTGTTATCACTTGGGAAATACAAGAATTCTGACACTCGTTTCGTAAAATCAGTATGACACACATGCTTGAATAACAATCTCTATTTAATTGTTCTACAATATGAAGCAATGTGACGTCAGCCTACCAATCGTTAAAATGCACAAATGTAAAGATCGAAAAGTTAATACACTCTATCTTTCTGTCCTTATGTGAAATATTACTTGTTGGCGAACAGATAATGGACTAAACCGATAAGTGCTGCTTTGCCAGTTAGACACTTTGTTGGTCAGTGCGCTTGTTAAAATCCGATAACGTCACAATAAAACGCCGCGTGGCACAGGTTTAGTGGCCTTTACCCCGAACAAATACCCTACATCCTTGAGTTCGTACACCCAACAGGTCGAAGTAAGTCGTGTTTGACTGAATCGCCGAGTTATCTTTCAAGAACAGGTCCAGCGTTTTATCTGTTAATGGTGAACTTCACAATGACGAGGGACTCTAGCGGTTCGTATATTGTTTACTTTTAGGACTGGCATTGTGACAAGGTATACCTAGACATTATTCATTGGGCGGTTAGACTACTTGAAAATTACCCCCGGCCTACCGTTTGCCCATTGCCAATTACCAATCAGGGATAATTTTAAGTCCTGGTTTCCAGTTGACCATAACTATCAGCGTTAATTATCTTAAAGTGTTGGCTTCCATTGTCTATTGGTAATCACCTATCAGCGTCACGTACCTGTTGACTTCCCTTGTGAAGTTACAACCTTTTGTTATCTTATTACTTTTGTTGTTCGTACATGTACATATATATGCTCTCTGCCTCAGCATTCATTCACCTGATGAAGGCGTAAGCATCTACTCCGAAACCTGGTGGTGTTCCTCATAATAAAGACGTTGACATCCATAAATACTCTTCCTTACTTGAAAAGTGTTTTTGTTTCCCGTTTCTTTATTAATTTGGGCTTTTTTATTATAAACAAATCATAGATAAAACTGATGACATGAAAGGTGGCGAGTGGAAGCGCTTGTTTTGGAGGAGATCAAAGTCAGTCTGTGTTGTCATCGGTTGTACTCGTTCTACCAATCGTTCTGTTATTTATTATCAAGCATTACTTACCTGAAATCAAAGTTTGACAACCCCTTGAGAAGACAGGGAAACTCAAGCAAAATATATATACTAGAGAACCAAGAACCCCAAACACTTCTTTCCACTTTGAATCCATGTGTGGAATTAAAACCGGACATTAGGCTTGATGAGCGAACACTTTTACCACAAGACCACCCAAACGCCCCATACGCAGTATAATAAAAAGACCCCTTGTCACCAAAATGTCTTAGTCAACATTTATTCTGTTGCCAGAAAGAAAGAAAGCCTTTGGCTACCGAGTAATATTAGTTTTGGCACAGGGACCAGCTGCATGCGTGTTCCCGCAACAGTCAGTGCAATGGAATCCCTCTGTGGCTTCATCACAAAGATACAAATCTTCTACACGTGTGAAAATATTAGCATTTCCTTAAATAGCACTTTCGGTGTTATCGTGGGTGAAGAGGGGCCCCGTGGAGCAGCAACCTGGGTTTGACATGAATTTGATTGGTTGGTTTGTTTGTTGTTTAACGCCGCACTCAGCAATATTCCAGCTATATGACGGCGGTCTGTTAATAATCGAGTCTGGACCAGACAATCCAGTGATTGACATCATGAGCATCGATCCACGCAATTGGGATCGATGACATGCATCAACCAAGTCCGCGAGCCTAACTACCCGATCCCGTTAGTCGCCTTTTACGACAAGCATAGTCACCTTTTACGGCAAGCATGGGTTGCTGAAGACCTATTCTACCCCGGAATCTTCAGGGTCACATGAATTTGAACAACAGTTCGTCCTATACCTGTATGTCAGATTAATATGGAAGTAATATGGAAGTAATATACGCTTGCCACTTTAGTGTGGTGTGGTGTGGTGTGGTGTGAGGTGTGGTGAGGTGAGGTGAGGTGAGGCGAGGCGAGGCGAGGCGAGGTTTTAACGTTGCGTTTCTGATTTCACTCATTTAGCGACCTGCTTGCTCGTGTGTGTGGCTGCTTGTACTAGTCCGGCCGTATATACCACTGAGATACCATGCCGCAGTTTAACATGAATACCCCACTCAGACACAGTGTACTGACTCCGAGCCGACCAGTCCTTGTTTTAGCCCCTTAATGCCGAGCGCCAGACAGGGTAACAACAAGTACCATTTTTAAACGTCTTTTGGTATGACGCGGCCTGGCATCAAACCCAGGACCTTCCGATCTCCGGGCGAACACTCTACCACTAGACCATGGAGTGGAAAGATAGGTAAAACAAAAATGGAGAAAAGGTGTTGAATCATTCACATGTGCTAGGTCAACGGAACTTGACTGATAGGAAGGTCCATGGAACTGGGTGAATTGCTAGGTTCATGAAACTAGGTAGGATGAGTAAATGAGTAGGGACCCCTGAAGATCCGGGGTAGAATAGGTCTTCAGCAACCCATGCTGGCCGTAAAAGGCGACTATGCTTGTTGTAAGAGGCGATTAACTAGATCGGGTGGTCAGTTTCCTGATTTGGTTGATGCATGCCATTGTATCCCAAATGCGTGGATTGATTCTCATGATGTTAATCACTGGATTGTCTGACTCGTTTTTTATAGACTGCCGTCATGTAGCTGGAATATTGCAGAGTGCGGCGCCTTCAAGTTCTAGGAATCATATTGTCATGTAATTGAATGTTTCTATGCATGTGCGTGGTCGTCCGATGTGAAGCTAGTGTGATGCACAATGAAGATGTTTCTGTGACAGGTGCGTGGTCCGTCCGATCTGAAGCTAGTGTCATGCACAATGAAATACTGGGAATCATATTGTCATATAATTGAATGTTTCTGTGCAGGTGCGTGGTTGTCTGATCTGAAGCTAGTGTGATGCACAATGAAATACTTGGAATCATATTGTCATATAATTGAATGTTTCTGTGCCGGTGCGTGGTCGACCGATCTGAACCTTGTGTCATGCACAATGAAAAACTGGAAATCATATTGTCATATAATTGATTGTTTCTGTGCAGGTGCGTGGTCCGTCCGATCTGATCAGTGTCATCAGTAGGAACTGATGTTTATGCAGGAACTTTATCATCAAGATCTCCCAAGGACTCACTATTCAGTTCTTGTCTCTTCACTTTTGACCCCACAACAGTGTAGGCAGATTCCATTGGATTTTAGAAAATGGTCCTATTACCTTTTTCCCTGGTTGGTTTTGAACTCCATCAATCCACTCCCGTAGGAATTCCGAATATCCGAGTATCCGATGCTTGTCGAGCAGACTAAATTTTGGATTGGATGGACATGGCCTGTGACCTCTTTGATTGTGTGTGATGAAAGTGTGGGGTATTGATCACACTATCCACCAATCATTTGTAAGGGAATGACTCGGCTTTTGTCCCCCCTCCCTCCACGATGGAGATGGAATATTGATGACTACAGAAAAGCAACAATCAATCAATAGATGCATGAGTGAGTGAGTTCGATTAAAAGCCAGTGAGTGAGTGAGTTCGATTAAAAGCCAGATCATAAAGCAATCATCGTAAAAGAGAGAGAAACAGCATATATATTTTATTTAACAAAAAGACAAACAAGACAAAAGATAACCACAGACCCTTATCAAGAACACACACGCAGGCACGCAGGCACGCAGGCACACAGGCATGCATGCAGGCAGGCAGGCAAGCACGCACCCAGGCACTCACGCATGCACCCAGGCACGCACTCGTCTTGAGTTTTATTTCGAGAATACAGTTTGTTACATTCTAATTGTACCTTGCTTCAAAGTTGCAAAATCTCATGAATGATGAACCCGGCCATGTCAGCCATGGGCATTTACGAGACAGTGATCAGCTTTGAATACTTATCCAGTTGGATGTGGGAGGAGAGCCCAATGTGATGCAGGTCTTCCATGTGTATCACTGTTGGTCGAACCAACATGTATGGTATAGTGCTAACAAACCTAGAAACATTATCATGGCAAATCTAGGATTAAAATTCACGATTATAAGGGACACCCACCCACCATATCTCGAGGGCTCGCAATTCACTAAACCTACACTACCCTCTGGATCCATTCCCGTGGTTCTCGCGTCTCAAGTGACCCGCCCTTGACCGTCATTAACATTTTACCAACCAATCAAAAAAAGGACATGGGTAAGAGAGGATTTGCCACCGCCAGTTCTAATGGACATGAAGGTATCCTTTCCATCAAAAATATTTTTGAGGTCTTTCTTTTACAGGTGAGTCGGGTTTTGGATGCTGAATTTCTAGCAACTGTGTCGTAATCAATGGGTTGTTGACATCGCCATCCCAATATTAAATGAAACAAAAAGGAAAAAGGACGGGTAATTTCAGATCGCAACAACCTCGCATTATAATTATCGGCCAAGTCAATCAACCGTGACCAACTCATCAAAGACCACAATCAGCCATAATCATGTTGTTTATATTACTGGCTTCACCCTTTCTTTATATTACTGACTTCACCGATAATTGTCGTTACTACTTTTTGTGTACATAACATGCTTCTCCACTCCAGTATAACTACATCTGATATCCACTCTACTGTATAAACATTGCCTCCTACCTGTATATATACTTGTCAACCATACTCTGTATATCACTTGCTTGATAACGGTGTTAAAACTTACACCGAAACATCGCTCTTAATTGTAGAAGTTATTCATCCATAAATCTTATCCTTACTCATGAGTATTATTATAGTTATTGGTTGGTTGGTTGGTTTGTTGTTTAACGCCGCACTCAGCATTGTTCCAGCTATATGACAGAGATCTGTAAATAATCGAGTCTGGACCAGACAATCCAGTGATTAATATCATGAGCATCGATCCACGCAATTGGGATCGATGACATGCATCAACCAAGTCAGCGAGCCTGACCACCCGATCCCGTTAGTCGCCTTTTACGACAAGCATAGTCACCTTTTACGGCAAGCATGGGTTGCTGAAGACCTATTCTACCCCGGAATGTTCACCGGTCTATTTTAGTTATTAGTTGTCTCATGTCAATGAATGTGTATGGAAGGAACAGTGCATACAGAACGTGAGGTAGATGATTCAATGATGGCACATAAGTCAGTCTGTTAACTAGAACACATGTCAGTGGAGATGTTTCCCCGGTCCCTTCATGTTCTACCTACCAGGGGTATCCCTGTACTGCTCAAGCACACTTTGCGCAGGTCACAGGTTAACGTTCAGACTACACTCAGCGTATAAATTCCCTAAAAAATTTCAGCCAGGCAACTGCACTCACAACACTGCAAAGTTATCAGACCAGATAAAATGTTGCCAGTCCAAATCTTTTTAGGTGAGTGAGTGAGTGAGTGAGTGAGTGAGTGAGTGAGTGAGTGAGTGAGTGAGTGTGAGTGAGTGAGTGAGTGAGTGAGTGAGTGAGTGAGTGAGTGAGTGAGTGTGGTTTTACGCCGCTTTTAGCAATATTCCAGCAATATCATGGCGGGGGACACCAGAAATGGGCTTCACACATTGTACCCATGTCGGGAATCGAACCCGGGTCTTTGGCGTGACGAGCGAACGCTTTAACCACAAGGCTACCCCACCGCCCCTTTAGGTTAAGGAACATAAGTAACAGAAGGGTAAACAAAGGAATAGTGCTGTTGAATTAGTTCTCAGAAAATAACAATCAACTGGTGGATTGTCAACTTTGTAACTGTAACTTTTCAAAACTGATCGTCAGTCAGCAAAATTGATTCTCTCAGACTGTCGGGCAGGTGGGTATTTTAAACCCGGGTACCCACAGTACTACCCAGGCCCGTGGTTAGTCACGTGATATATTGTTTAATGACCAAAAAAAATCACTGTAAGTCCATGGCTACACTACAAGTCACTAAATACGTTTTTTTCAGGGCAATGGTCAAACTGTTCCCAATCGGACATTTGGTACCGGTATAACTTGAGACCTACAGCAGGTACCTGGGTAGGGTAATAGCGGGGTGGGTACCCAGGTTGTAAATCTGGACTCATCCCAGCCCTTAATAGCACCATACAAAACTGAGTACACTCTGGGATAAGTAACAGATAGTAGTGTCATAACAAATGTAACTAAGTTACACAGAGTTATTACCTTATTTACCCTAATATCCATCACAGAGGTAGCTGTAAGTTAAATGCTGAGCCTTGATACACAACAATTAAAGCCATTATTTTGTGTGTGTTTGACCACAGATTTTGTTGTCAAAGTAAGAAGTCAGAGGAGGGAATAATCTTTTTTTTAAAATACTCTGACATCATCTCCTATTTTTTTTAAATAATGGATCAAGGAATGTTTTTACAAATATTACCTGTATTTGGGGGGAAGACAAAATTATTTCACCCTTCTCTGCTGGAAGCTTTATTTTTTTGTCATTTGGAAGACAAAGGGAGTTAATTTTGGCAAAGGTTGTTTGTCAAGGACAAGTGGCATAACTCTGGGTATATGACTCTGGATATACAGTTGACTGAACGATTTGGTGAAATATCAATGTCCAATTGAGCATTTTAAGTTTCATAGATGACTCTTTTTAAAACACAGAGTAATCTTGGCATATATGACGTGTCGACAGAAATAAACATAATGGAAATTTGGTTTAATTATTCCCCAATTTTGACGAAAATTAGGGTCGATGGATCCGAGATCCAACAAATAAAAATATAATGGCCTAATGCTGACTTTAATCACTTCATGCTGTTATTATCACATCACATACAGTCATATACAAACCATACATCCTCACTTCACAGTTTCCGGAAACGCTACTTCAACGATTTCTTTCTTGTTGACTTTTCCCATAGCATTTCTCGGCATCTTGTCCAAACATCTGACCACGGTGGGAATCTGATATGATGGCATGTAGTTTCTAGCCCATTCTTTCAATATTCCAACAGTGAGTTCTCGACCTTCTTTACAAACCAAGATGGCTGCCACCTTCTGGCCCCATGTGATGTCTGGCAGACCAATCACAGCACAGTCCTGGATGTCTGGATGAGCCAGTAGGTGGCGTTCTACATCAAGGGCACTTATCTTGTAGCCCCCACTCTTGATGATGTCAACCGATGTCCGGCCCATGATGCGGTACATGCCATCCTTATACATGGCCGTGTCACCTGAATGGCAAACAACAAGTGAAACTTTTAAACTTTAAAAAGGTGAATGTCACGTATGTCTGTCACACCGTGACACATAAACAATAGTCATATGAAAAAATCAGGTGTTCTTTAACTTCTTTTGAGTAGCATATATTGTCTTATAGTAGATTTCTTTTCTGAGTATGGTTTTACGCTGCTTTTAGCAATATTCCATCAATACCACGGTGGGGGACACCAAAAATTGGCTTCACACATTGTACCCATGTGAGGAATTGAACCCGGGTCTTCGGCATGGCAAGTGAACACTTTAACCTCTTGGGTATAGCACCACCCCTCTGACAGAAGGAAAACCATCCATCTCTGAACGTACATTGTCTGTAACAATCTACCTGTTTTGAACTACCCATCTCTGAACATACGTTGTCTGTAACAATCTACCTGTTTTGAACTACCCATCTCTGAACATACGTTGTCTGTAACAATCTACCTGTTTTGAACTACCCATCTCTGAACATACGTTGTCTGTAACAATCTACCTGTTTTGAACCATCCATCTCTGAACGTACATTGTCTGTAACAATCTACCTGTTTTGAACTACCCATCTCTGAACATACGTTGTCTGTAACAATCTACCTGTTTTGAACCACCCATCTCTGAACATACGTTGTCTGTAACAATCTACCTGTTTTGAACCATCCATCTCTGAACATACGTTGTCTGTAACAATCTACCTGTTTTGAACCACCCATCTCTGAACATACGTTGTCTGTAACAATCTACCTGTTTTGAACCATCCATCTCTGAACATACGTTGTCTGTAACAATCTACCTGTTTTGAACCATCCGTCTATGAACATACGTTGTCTGTAACAATCTACCTGTTTTGAACCACCCATCTCTGAACATACGTTGTCTGTAACAATCTACCTGTTTTGAACCATCCATCTCTGAACATACGTTGTCTGTAACAATCTACCTGTTTTGAACCACCCATCTCTGAACATACGTTGTCTGTAACAATCTACCTGTTTTGAACCATCCATCTCTGAACATACGTTGTCTGTAACAATCTACCTGTTTTGAACCATCCGTCTATGAACATACGTTGTCTGTAACAATCTACCTGTTTTGAACCATCCATCTCTGAACATACGTTGTCTGTAACAATCTACCTGTTTTGAACCATCCATCTCTGAACATACGTTGTCTGTAACAATCTACCTGTTTTGAACCATCCATCTCTGAACATACGTTGTCTGTAACAATCTACCTGTTTTGAACCATCCATCTCTGAACATACGTTGTCTGTAACAATCTACCTGTTTTGAACCATCCATCTCTGAACATACGTTGTCTGTAACAATCTACCTGTTTTGAACCATCCATCTCTGAACATACGTTGTCTGTAACAATCTACCTGTTTTGAACCATCCATCTCTGAACATACGTTGTCTGTAACAATCTACCTGTTTTGAACCATCCATCTCTGAACATACGTTGTCTGTAACAATCTACCTGTTTTGAACCATCCATCTCTGAACATACGTTGTCTGTAACAATCTACCTGTTTTGAACCATCCATCTCTGAACATACGTTGTCTGTAACAATCTACCTGTTTTGAACCATCCATCTCTGAACATACGTTGTCTGTAACAATCTACCTGTTTTGAACCATCCATCTCTGAACATACGTTGTCTGTAACAATCTACCTGTTTTGAACCATCCATCTTTGAACAAACATCATCTGTAACAATCTACCTGTTTTGAACCATCCATCTCTGAACATACATCATCTGTAACAATCTACCTGTTTTGAACCATCCATCTCTGAACGTACATCGTCTGTAACAATCTACCTGTTTTGAACCATCCATCTCTGAACATACGTTGTCTGTAACAATCTACCTGTCTGTAACAATCTACCTGTTTTGAACCATCCGTCTATGAACATACATCGTCTGTAACAATCTACCTGTTTTGAACCATCCATCTCTGAACATACATCGTCTGTAACAATCTACCTGTTTTGAACCATCCATCTCTGAACATACGTTGTCTGTAACAATCTACCTGTTTTGAACCATCCGTCTATGAACATACGTTGTCTGTAACAATCTACCTGTTTTGAACCATCCATCTCTGAACGTACGTTGTCTGTAACAATCTACCTGTTTTGAACCATCCATCTATGAACATACATCGTCTGTAACAATCTACCTGTTTTGAACCATCCATCTCTGAACATACGTTGTCTGTAACAATCTACCTGTCTGTAACAATCTACCTGTTTTGAAACATCCATCTCTGAACGTACATCGTCTGTAACAATCTACCTGTTTTGAACCACCCATCTCTGAACATACATCGTCTCTAACAATCTACCTGTTTCGAACCATCCATCTCTGAACATACATCATCTGTAACAATCTACCTGTTTTGAACCATCCATCTCTGAACATACATCATCTGTAACAATCTACCTGTTTTGAACCATCCATCTCTGAACATACATCGTCTGTAACAATCTACCTGTTTTGAACCATCCATCTCTGAACATACATCGTCTCTAACAATCTACCTGTTTTGAACCATCCATCTCTGGTGAAAGCCTGACTTGTGGCCCCTGGTTTGCCCCAGTACTTGTGGAACACACCCGGTCCTCGGACCAGCAACTCCCCCTGCTCTCCGTCTGAAAACAGTCAATGTGGCATGCCCATATCAACAGTGAAAGTAATGTAAGACTATATACTAGAACAAAAAGATTCTGTATAACAACGTACAAATCTAACAAAATGCATTTGCAATGCGAATATACGTGCCAGTTCAAATGCACCATGAACATCAAAGCACGAAGTTAAAGATGCTCATGTAGTACGCATGTATTGCATGAAAAATCTGTGAGGCTTGTCATTCTTTTCATTTATTTATTCGTATTACCAAAAGGATTACACAAATCAGCTACGAATCTGTTACAGTCCTACAAATTCATGTAGACAAAGGATGGAATCTTACCCCTGTAGACTGTGGTGGTTCTGGAGTTTCCCCGTGCTAAGATGTCGTAGCCGTTCTCAGCGTAGACATTGTTCTGAACTATGCACACCTCCACTTCAGGGAATGGCTGACCAACACTGCCTGTGGAGATACATGATCAGTGTTCTACAATGAATTTGGTAAATACTTGACTTAAGGTTTCAAATCACAATAATAACCTCTGATTAAAACACATATTTCACAACTGATATATTTTACATGAGAGAGTTTTTTTCTTAACCATGGTCAGTTGCAATCTCATTAAAATCAGAACTAAGTTCTCACTAGTGCCACCAAAGATCTGAGGACATCCCATTACAGGGAATAACCTTCCATGGACTTTGACTGACCAACAAAATGACGTCAACATTAGCCTCTCAGAAAGCAGCTTTCTCGAGCTTTATGGCACTAGTTTCAAACTGGCGACTTTCATTCCAGACTCATGCTTTGGCATATACTGATTCAAACTATGAAAACGGAATAAAAGGAAATTCTGGAATGTCTAATAGATGGCAGGGATTGTACGGCAATACTTCCCACGTAAAGCCTCTACTGTTTCAAATGTTTATCCAGCGGAAGCGAGAGATAGACGATAATTTTGACGGAATCAGTCACACAGCACGTCTTTTGGAATACCCAAGCTTTACGAGGTTGCATAATTAGAAAACACATTCCGATTGTCACTTTCCCGATCTGCTAAGTGACACTCGGATTGGTCGGATAAAAGGTCGTTCCAAAATGATCCGGTAGCAAGCACTAAGAGTTTAATGAGATTGGGTTAGTTGGCACTTTAAAAACATAATAATAACACAAGATTACAAAGGTATACTTGCAGTTTCCACAATAAACAACATTTAATATTCAAAGTTTATGTTGCAATAACTATTGGGCAGAAACACAATAGAAATGAACTTGACATTGTAACATCCCAACAGCTGTGTGCAATTAAAAACTAACCTTCATTTCCTAGGGGGATTTCGACTTGAAGATGTTTTACTAAATATCTGTGCTACACACTTTCAATGTATGTCATACATGCGTGATAAGTACAGAGATATTAACAACAAATCTGAGTATATACAGTGGCATATTTAGTTATGAAGGGCGGTCGGGTAGCCTAGGGGTTTAAAGTGTTTGCTCGTCATGCCAAAGAACCCGCGATGTGGGTACAATGTGTGAAGCCCATTTCAAGTGTTCCCCGCTGTGATATTGCTGTAATATTGCTAAATGAGGCGTAAAACCATATTCACTCATTCACCCACTCACATAGTTATGATGAGGATTACTAAATTAATAAAATGTCAGCCTGCACAAAGTGTCACATTCAAGCCACACCACTTATCTCGTTATTTTCTATAACAACAATGAGTTTTGGGCTTGATAGAATGGAAATAAGCATACCCTGTTTTTAGTGTAGAGCAATGTAACATTAAGAGTTTGCAGGCTGGGCAAATTCACTACAGGGCTACTAAATCTACAGGTAACCTAGTTGTACACTGATTGGTAGGTATATTTCCGTTATCAGTTTTTACACTTTATAACAATGCTTTGATTGGCGAAAATTAACCTTCATGTTTCATGCTCAACTTGTCTCACATGCTCACATGAAGCTGTGAAGTAAGGCCGAGTATCTCACCTGCTATGCGGGGGCCATGCAGGGGGTTCGTCAGTGCCATGCCGATTTCTGTCATCCCGTATCTCTCCAGCAGCCGATGACCTGTGACCTCCTCCCACTGCTTCATGATTGGTTCTGGCAGTGCGGCAGACCCGCTCACCATCAGCCTACCAAACATACAAAAGAGACCCACTCACCATCAGCCTACCAAACATACAACAGAGACCTGCTCACCATCAGCCTACCAAACATACAACAGAGACCCACTCACCATCAGCCTACCAAACATACAACAGAGACCTGCTCACCATCAGCCTACCAAACATACAACAGAGACATGCTCATCATCATCCTACCAAACATACAACAGAGACCCACTAACCATCATCCTACCAAACATACAACAGACCCGCTCACCATCATCCTACCAAACATACAACAGACCCGCTCACCATCAGCCTACCAAACATACAACAGACCCACTCACCATCATCCTACCAAACATACAACAGCCCCGCTCACCATCATCCTACCAAACATACAACAGACCCACTCACCATCAGCCTACCAAACATACAAAAGAGACCCGCTCACCATCAGCCTACCAAACATACAAAAAAGACCCGCTCACCATCACCCTACCAAACATACAACAGACCCACTCACCATCAGCCTACCAAACATACAACAGAGACCCACTCACCAAACATACAACAGAGACCCACTCACCAAACATACAACAGAGACCCACTCACCAAACATACAACAGAGACCCACTCACCAAACATACAACAGAGACCCACTCACCAAACATACAACAGAGACCCACTCACCAAACATACAACAGAAACACGCTCACCAAACATACAACAGAAACACGCTCACCAAACATACAACAGAAACGCGCTCACCAAACATACAACAGAAACACGCTCACCAAACATACAACAGAAACACGCTCACCAAACATACAACAGAGACCCACTCACATAACATAAAACAGAGACCCACTCACCAAACATACAACAGAAACACGCTCACCAAACATACAACAGAGACCCACTCACCAAACATACAACAGAGACCCACTCATATAACATAAAACAGAGACCCGCTCACCAAACATACAACAGAGACCCACTCACCAAACATATAACAGAAACACGCTCACGAAACATACAACAGAGACCCGCTCACCAAACATACAACAGAAACGCGCTCACCAAACATACAACAGAAACACGCTCACCAAACATACAACAGAGACCCACTCACCAAACATACAACAGAGACCCGCTCACCAAACATACAACAGAGACCCACTCACCAAACATACAACAGAAACACGCTCACCAAACATACAACAGAAACACGCTCACCAAACATACAACAGAGACCCACTCACCAAACATACAACAGAAACACGCTCACCAAACATACAACAGAGACCCACTCACCAAACATGCAAAAGAGACCCGCTCACCAAACATACAACAGAGACCCGCTCACCAAACGTGCAACAGAGAGCCACTCACCAAACATACAACAGAGACCCACTCACCAAACATACAACAGAGACCCGCTCACCAAACATACAACAGAGACCCACTCACCAAACATACAACAGAGACCCACTCACCAAACATACAACAGAAACACGCTCACCAAACATACAACAGAAACACGCTCACCAAACATACAAGGGCATGCTCACCAACACTACAAGAATCAGCCCACCACAAGCCACCCAAACACACAACAGAGACCCTTTCTTTTACCAACTTTAACAGAATAAAAGGCCAGAAGTTGGCAGAATATTTGAGGTGTGCAAGATATATGAAACTGAAGTCTCGCCATCATCTGGCAACTTTTGAGTGGGACTGTTGTGATGTGTCCACTAGGGGTGACTATTGGTCTGGAAATCACTATTGCGATAACTATTGATATTGAAAAAAACTATCGTGATGACTATTGATATTGCAAGCAACTATTGCGATAAATATCGATAGTTTCTAGTGTATCATTTTAGATGAATTTTAGAGTTGGATTAAACCTTGGAACTGAAGTTTCCTTTGAATGTGATAACCATAACAACAAATAAAAAGTAAAGTTTGAGATATGACTAATTTGGTTTTTCTTTATAAAAAAAGAAACTTCCACATTACCATGTGTAAATTACTACCCTCATGATCAAAAGAAAAACAAATTTGTACAGCATTGCATGTATTTTATTGATATGGTAAATGCAATCGAAAATATTGATATTCCTAACTGAAATGGATACTATTGATCGGAAACTGATTTAACAATCGATAGATTGACTTTAAGTGCTTACCAATAGCAATATGTCGATATTTCGATTTATCGTGACACCCCTAGTGTCCACCTGGTGCTACCAAAACAATCTGTCAAACTCTGTTGATTTGTCTTTAATATCTTGTGACCATGTTTTGATCTGAACAGGCTGACACCATCAGGGAGGAAGCACTTCTACAACAAGGTTACCATGACCAGCAGATGCTCCCTCCCTGAGGATGTCTACAAGTTCTGGGAAACAACTCACACATTTGTCCTGGTCCCAATGAAGGTGTAACACTTAACTGGTAAATTCAGTCAAATTAATCATATAATTTTGATTTTTGAATTAATTCATTTGCTAAACATGCTAAATTTGACATTCGCTTTTAAACAAAGTTGAAATCAACTGAACAGAGCTGAAAAGCAGCTGGCATGCAATCCTTTCGTATTCCAGAAAATATTCTAAAAATATATTTTGGCTCAGATTTAACAAAAAGAAACAAGATATTTCCTCAAAATGCTGAATGTCCTGAAAGAAAAATGTAAATGTATGATTTAAAGTAGCGACCAAAAAAATATCTTCACAAACATCCCAGTCCCCAGTAATATTAACTGGTCGGTCCCTTACCGTATTCGGCTGGAACAAGCACTCCGGATGAAGGCCATGCTCTTCCTGAATTTCTTCTCCTGGTTGAACTCTGTGTCATAGTACTGAAGCAGCTTGGCGTAGATTGTCGGGACAGCCATGAAGACGTTGATGCGCACATCCCCCGGGAGGAAGTCGGTTAACCTTGACCACACCTGTTGAAATCAGGGAGCATCACCTCTTGTTAAAAATCTACACTGTCTAAACTACTATGTAAATTACATTTAGCTGTATAAAAATATATTATGAATACCAATTAATATTATGTAACCGTCAGCCGAATCCAAAAATATTATTTAAAACAATCAATGCATTTGAAAATGCAGTGATTAGTTCCGTATTGTTAGTGAGTTTTATGATAAATATATCTTCTGTTTTCAATTTAAAGTTTTCAAGTAAAGATGTTAATACCATAAATTTCATTTAAAAAATGAACACATTAGCCTGAGGTTGTGAATTTGAAAGTTTTCTGAGACCTCCTGTTCACAAAATGATCTTAGTGTTATGACATGTTCACATTATGATATGTTCGTAAGTATATGTAAAGAGTGGAACTTATAAATGTTATATGCAAAGGTCACTAAGTGTCATGGTTCTGTATCAGAGTTTCTAATACTGTCTGACCAAAAACAGAGAATTTGTTTACCTTTGCTGGATTAAAACTTGGCATCATGACACACGTTGCTCCAACAAAGAGGGGAGTCATGAGGACATTGACGATGCCGTGCACGTGATGTAGTGGAAGGACGTGGAGGACGACGTCACTGGGCTGCCACTCCCATGCCGTAATCATCCCAGACATCATGGCATGCAGGTTACCGTGAGTCAGCACCACCCCCTCAACACAGAAATATGTACAAATACAAGGTTGCCTTCCTCACACTACCTTGCAAACCAACCAAGACATCTTGAATTCAGAGATCCAGATAAGCATTTGGTGTTGTGGGTATTTTACCTATGCATTTTAAAATCATTGGGTATCAGTAATTCTATTTGGGTATTCAAATTTCTGTTACCCACTAGTTTTCACACATGTGGGTATTTAAGTTAAATATTTAAAAAACACTATTCATCTAGTCCCTGCAAACTGGTGTCGTGTGGGTTCGAGAGCTTTATAGGACTCAAAAATACCACGATACTTCCACAAGAAAGAGTGATGGTAAATGATCATGATGTTATTGTCATCATGGAGTTTGGCAAGGTTGACGGAATGTCCGTATATAATTTCAAAATAAGTTGCTGATTTGCTAATCGAATACGCAGCGTTAATTCACAATATTTTGATGATACGCACAAGATTTATTTTTGTAGCGTACCTGTAATGTTCGTTGTGTATTTGATACACTTGGATTTTATTTTACTGCGTATTTCTGCATTTCTGATGCGTATTTTACGCATATACGCAGCTTATCTGGAGCTCTGTGAATTAAAAACAAACCATACCAGCAGTCAGAAAGATTTGAAGGTACATTATTCGTGATTCAACGGAGGAGGGTGTTGTCACCATAAAAGATATAGAAAAGTGTTTTGCATGTTTTGTGATAAAATAAGAGAGAACCTTCCTGCAGAATCAGACAAGGGTTTCAAGTATGCACGACCATGAACTGAATATGCGAATTTATGTACACCAAAATTGTGCCAAATATGTATGTTTCAGTAAAAATATCATTTACAATTGGAGAGAGATCCAACATTTGTTTTGTTTACAGTGCATTGATCTACATGACAATGAAGTAATTATCCGTTATTATCAGCGTAGTGAAGACACAGAATTGAGTATTGTTTGGGTGTAGGGATGACTACTTCATGAAACAAAAGTACCAAGTGTCATTTCTTGAAATTTCCAAGAGAAAAGGCCGAATTAGCGAGGAGGAAAGTTTGGATTCAGCAATGCGAGGAGGAAAATGGAAACCAACCGGACATGACATTCAATCTGCATACGCGCTGGTTGTGGGACCAATGCAGTTGTTTGTTGCTTTTAAGAGAACAATGAATCACATATGACTCTCTTTGTTGGTGTAAATATGTACTTTGTAAGACTATCTAACATGTTTAAAAGTAATAAATATCAAAAGATCTCCTTTAATCACACTGTACCTCCAAACTCCGTTCTTCGATCAGCCATAAATACGCATGGCCGCTTTGTGGTGCAGTCGCTATTTTAACCACCGAATCTAGCCACAGCCTGGTTCCATGGGGGAAACCAGTAAGCACTTACATTACACGGGCAATGTTTCTTGTGCCCATGTGCTACAGCCGTGCGGCCACTACTCTACACATTGAGTCAATGGTGGGCACCGGTAGGTGAGCATAAAGAATATCCAAATAAAAGAACAAAAACTTTAATGAAACTTCAGCCCATCTAATAACCCAAAAATCTGCACAATATTTACAACTTCGGTCCCATAACACATGACGTGGTGCTGCAAGCATTGATTACAAATATTCATAGTGATGGCAACTATGATGTAATTTTTACATTTAAGGAGTATCTCAACATGTCATTTATCATCCAAAACTGGCTCCCACAGGAGATATGGCTTGGGTGAGATTGATGAAATTGCATCACAATGCTTTGCAGAGCATTGTGACATCATTGGTTACCATGACGTCACAATCAAATGACATCACTAATGGCTCTGCTTCTGAAGCTGTTAGCAGTACTTTTACACCTAAGACACTGCTTATTATCATCTACAAACTGAAAAAGTTGGAAGAATGATGTTGGATGATAAATAGAATCTCACCCTTGTGTCTTTTGATATCAAATATATCAACACTTGTCGATAAAAGTTTAAAACTTGTACTTATTTCTTACTTTAGGTCGGCCTGTGGTCCCACTTGTGTACACGATCATTGCTGGTTCCCGCTTGTACTGATTGGTTGCCAGGAGATCGTCATAGCGACCCTTGATCCGTCTTCTCTCCTTTTTGCTGCTGGATGCAGGATTGTCCGAGAGGAACCAACTGTTCTGATCACTGTCATATGACCCCATGTACTCCGACGCCTGTAACGTCTCAAGTTGGATCTCGAGGTCTTCAGCAATCGGCTGTAGTCTCTCAGCATACTTTGTTGTGGTTACAAGCAGAGAGCTCTGGGAGTCCTGGATATAGTACGCCAGGTCCGAGTCAGAGTGCAGGTTGCACAGTGGAACTGCCACTCCCCCACACATCCACGTTGCCCATTGTGCAACCACATACGAAATGTCATTCTCACACAAAAACGTCACTCTTGCACCTTCTATGCCGGTTTTGGGATTTCCGTTACATCTGCTGATTATCTTCTGTGACAACAGAGAACTATAGTGCAAAATGTCATCGTACGAGAAACGGTTGTTTTGATCGACGATTGCTGTTCTCCCAACATGCTCTTCTGCTTTGAGGAACAGCGGGATCACGTGACTGTTTCTTGTTGCTTTGAGTTCGCTGAAGCATCTTCGACATATGCGCAGTCTTGTTGCAGGGACATGAACAGGCATGAGCTGGTGGGATATGGGATGTGTCGTCAGGGAGTGTCGAAGTCCTTTCAGCAAAGACAAAACTGATGGTACTCTCATTATGAAGGGTCTCTTGAATCTATAATGGATAAGGTGAGGTGAGGTGAGGTGAGGTGAGGTGAGGTGAGTATATTATCACTCCATGCTATTGTGTGCTGTAGAAGCACATGGTATTGTTTACATTACAGCAGTGCAACACCTACTGTGTGTGAACTATGTCATCAGTGTATGTGAATCACGCCATCGTCAGCATGATCAGTAAATAATAAAATAGCCCTTATAGGTTTTTGTTGTTAGTTGCTCCTGCCCCAGACATATGATAGTGATGGCGACCATCTTTAAATGTCTTTTGGTATGAATTGTCAAACTGCGATGTTTCGATTTAGATGAAGAGGAACCATGGAGTTCACGGAGTCTACTGTGTGTGTTTGAGTAACTATATTTGTTGTGTGGTGTACGATGGCCCCCATATTTGACATGCATCTGAATAAATCCTCGAAGTTTGAATTTTGTGTTTACTGCGAGTTGCACGGGTGAATGCGTCCCTAGCGGGGTGCCGCTATAATAATGTTGACGGATAGCATCAACCTTTCAAGTCGTGTATACATTAATCAACAACAAAAACATGTCAGTATGTAAGGGTGTGTGTTATAACGGTACAACTGTAGATTGTGGAGTAAATCTTCAGTAATACGTATTGCGATACATTTGTAAATGTAGCAATATATTGGGGCAAAATTTTTTATAAGTATATTTATGTGTTCCTAATCGATATGGAGATGGAAAATAGTATCTTTCTGATACAACTTGCCTCTGCCGATCTTGTTTTTTATCAATTAGTGTGTACACATCGCGACTATCAAGCTCCTCACAGCGATAGCCCGTTCGTGGAGCTCTCTATACGGAGAGTATAACGAAGGTGTCATGCGCTGGGAAGGAGCTTGATGGTATCTGACATTAATACAGGGTATAACTCTGATTAACACATGAAATTCTAAATTTGCAATATATTGCAATACGTATGGCAATATATGTTATAGTATGGCAATATATTACAATACAAAATCCAGGTCAATACACAACCCTTTCAGTATGGCTGTAGCTGTTTATTGTATACCTTTGCTATTTTATACGACTTATTCTTTGATCCTCCGATAGAGCCAAACAACATGTGGAATCAGTCAAAGTTATAGTCCATAATAAGAAAATTTTGAACCCTCAACAAAAACCCAATCCATATTTCAAGACTTTCAAACTTCGAGTGTAGATTCCTTTCAAATAACAACATGACTCCATGTATGTAACTAGGTCAGCAGGTGGCCATGTTACACTTGACCACTTTTGTAAATATAAGACTAATTAAACCCTCGTTGTGTATCTGTGTAATTAGGATAATAAATAATAATCAATGTAGATCAACATAATTAAATGTCCGGTAACAGACATTAAACTAGTTTAGAATGACTTGAAGATTCCTTGCTATACGTACAAGTCTAAATAGGCTATCAGTCTCTACTTCTATATGAGATGGGTCCTATTGTTTACAAGTCCTCACTGATAATGTTTTTGACATGTGCTGTCAATAAAACGGCCCCTGTCAATAGGAACTGGTCCCCTGTCCTTATGTGTAATATCTCCGTCACTAGTCTAGTGAATGTACACATGTCATGATGTGCGTGTTTCCCAATCTGTGTGTGCACATAAGAAATATTATCTAGAAAAAATCTGACAGTTCGTCAGTGCTAGTGTGAGTAACATCACTAAATCAAAGATTTAATATTGATTAGAAAAAGATGAAAATAATAAACACATAGGTGAACCCATTACCCGTTCAACTTCGCACGGTGAAGAACATGTGCACTCACACACTTTTCCAGTCAATGTCAACATGTGCTTTGGACACTGTGAAATGAGAGTTACCTGCCCTTGAAACAATGCGCACGTAAAATCGTTTGTAGTCCGCCCTCCAGCGCAAACATTGAATGAAAAGTTATTGCCATGGTGTAGTGACTGATGAGGAGATGGTGCGGGTGATCAACTTCTATATAACACTCGTAATAATGTTTCAGCGGAGATTCTAAACTCTTATCAAGCAAGTGAGTCCTTCTGTGAATGTCCGAGTTATTGTGTAAAGTAAGATATCAAACTCTAGATTCACAGATATCACTGTCAGTTGGTTTATATTATAGAATCATGATACATTGGAATTTTGAGTATGCAATGGATAAAAGGAGATAATTAACAACTATTTTTTTCTGCCAATTAATTTTATTTCAGAGACGACATGTTAGTCTAGTTCACATGTATAGCAGTGTTATCAGCAGTCAAAATAAATTACAGTCCAATAACTTAAATAGGTCCATATAATATTTTTTTAAAGAACAAGAGAAGAAAGAATCTGTAAAGTATTAACTTTCTGCTGGTTTGTGAGGCGTATGTACATCTGCGTTAAATTTATCTTTACAAGAAATGCTATGTACATTCCAATTGACAGAAATATAATACACTAATGTCTGTTGACAACATTGAAGTTGTTTGACATTTGGCAATGTTTGTAGTTCATGCAATGCAATTATGAAACAGTAGTGTTAATGTGTAATTCAAAGACTGCTAGTTGGCTGCATTGTAACTGAAGCTGTATGGACCGATGGCATGCATCCATGCTGAATAAATATTTATATTTAAAAGAACAAGACGGTACATTCAATTCTCTTGGGATTCTGGGTAAGAAACTATAGGTCCGCCGCATGCTTTGTCGTATTAGGCGACTAAATGGATTGGGTGGACAGGTTCGGTGACAAGGTAATTTGCATGCATCTACCGGTACCCCAATCGTGTGGACCCATGTTCATGACGTCAGTCACCGGTTTGTCTGGCTTCGTATGACTGGAATATGCCGTGTCATTTCAAGTAGTACTTAGTGCTCGCTACCCATACACAATGATATTGCTACACTCATAGCGGTAACGAGCTGTAAGGTCTGATTTTATTGAGATTGTGATGGAATGGTATTTTCCACCGCTTTTGCAATATGTCAGTAACATCACAGCAAGAGACACGAAGACTGGACTTAATGGACGAAGACAAAGGCTTTAATTGATGGGCCATCAGGTCATCTTTATAGGGTCAGGGAAAACTGAGAATGAACCGATAAATAACAAAGTATATAGTTCATCACAGTCATTTCTAAATATCACATATCATTTAAAATTCTGTAAAAACAATTAAAATATTATCAAATTATAAAAAAATAATAATCCTGTACCCTACCCGTAAAGAAATGAAATTCTGTATGACGCAGACTAGATTAAAATGAGACGGTCATGGTAAGTGCGAAGACATGGGTGTACTTTCTTGTGTACATTTCTTGTAGCAATACAATAGACCAATGCACCCTTTTTCACGTTGAACAGGGGCCACCGGTGGCCCAGTCGTCTAAGGCGCCGCAATTTGGTGATGCGCCCCCATGATCCTGGGTTCGACTCCCGGTTCGCCCCAATTATGTGACTAGGTTTGTCAGCACCATGTCCGCGCTCATGGGTTTCACTGAAGTGATAAACGTCTAAGACCTGCATCACTTCGGGCTTTCCTCTCACATCAAAGTGTGGTATAAGTGGAATACTATTGAAAGCGGCGTTACACCGAACTCATATCGATTGAGGCGCCGCGGACAAGGTTGACTCAGTATAAGGTCCGCAATTCGCCGTATTTATTAACTAACTGTATTTTTTGTTTTAAAATCTAAATAGCATTGGTGTTTTAGTGGACTTGATATGGACCCCATGGTCTTTCCTTAGAACTTAAAATGGACTTCACAGGTTTTCTATTTGTTTTAAATTATACGACCCGTGAAGATCCGGGTTAGAATTGATCTTCAGCAACCCATGCTTGCCGTAAAAGGCGACTATGCTTGTCGTAAGAGGCTACTAACGGGATCGCCTGGTCAGGCTCGGTGACTCTGTTGATGCATGTCATCGTATCCCAATTGCGTAGATCGATGCTCATGATGTCAATCATTGGATTGTCTTCCATTGGTGTCTTATATTGTCTTGATTGTCTTATATTGATATACGTCTTCGGTCATATGATATACGTTCCAAGAAAATGGTAAGGTACATGTGACCTGATTCAGTCACGTGAATCAATGAATAAAATTCTATATAAATCGATGCATGTGACCAGATTCACAGTCACATGAGCCATTGACGATACCGTTCTATGTTGATCGATGACATCACAGCCATGTGGCCAAGACACAACTATAAAAGATATGTTTCTGTGGAGTTAAACACATATCCACACTGAAGTTGAAAAAAACAACTGGAGTCAGCATGTCCAAACTATCAGGTATCAATGGCTCTGGGATGTACTTTCCTGGACTCAAAATCATGGTATGTCAAATAGCTTTCATACATACGCTATGTTTTGCCTAGTGTTATTTTTAAAAAACACGCTGGAAAGTATAAGAAATCAACTTAATTTTTGTATAAACAAAATTCATACTGTTTAAGTTTTTGGCTTTTGGCCAATCCGTCTGTCTATTTTTTTCGCCAATCAACCAATAATATTTCAAGATCAAATTCAATCGAAATAGAAGGTTAACGTTCAATTTGTGCGAAGCATGTAGGGTATTAGTTTAATTTCAAATAACAGCTAGGAATATCATTGTTTAAATTTTGTTTCCAATCGTTCGTTCAATACGTTTCCGTTATTTTACATGAAACATTGTTTATAACGCGTAACAAATACCAATTTTGTCGTGGTCTTTCTACCTTGATAAGTATATTATCTCCCTTAGAAAACGATCATGTGACCAGGTTGTCGGAAGTAATACGCCATGTTTATCTGAATCACCGAATAAGCTTTCGAACTGAAATATAATTCGTCAACAAGGCCAATATTTAGCTGTTTATCGTAAAATACACAAATGGCCGGAGGTACCCTTCAGGTGAGATACGGCAAATATGTCTTTCGGTTCGTATTATTCTGATTCTGACGGGCGTCTGCTAAATGAATCGCCGCGCCTCCTCATTTGTTGTTCTGTATCATTTCGCAACGCGGACATTGAAAAGTTACTTTTCTTCAGTCATATTAAAATTAAGAGATATTGAAATGTTTGTTTGGTTTTGTGTAGAGAAGAGGTAATCATTTCAAACCGATTTAAGCACTGACATGGCATAAGCGGCTGTCCCGGGTACCTGTCATTTGCAGATGTCGCAATGGGTTAAAATGTAAACAAATATTGTCTGTGTCGACTCGTGGATCTTCTTCACCTTCAAGGCTTTCGTATGGAATATGACGAATGTTGGCTATTTAGAATACCGTATTAGTAATTTGCTCATGTATGTATTATCGTGATTATATAGCTCTATTATGTTTAGAATCGAAAATAAAAATGGTCAGGTGCATGTGACTCGACTCACAGTCACCTGAGTCATTTAAACCCGTTCCATGATGTCTATGTTAATCTCGGAGATCACTGGAATGTGATCAAACTTTACAAGCAACAAGCTGAAAACTTAACTCGGTAAACTTACCACGCTAACCCCTCAACATGCCCAAATTATCAGATGTCAATGGCACTGGCATGTATTTTCCTGGACTCAAAATCGTGGTATGTCAACATGGTCACCTAGCTTTGATTATTTATATTTGGTCTATTGTCATATTTTATGCAGGTATATATTTTTGTATTACTTTTTTCATGTTTGAAAATAGATTTCTAGATGAAATAATCTAAAACATATTCTTTATATAATTTGATAAACATATTAAAGTTGATTTAGATAGGTTGTTTCGCAATTGTTGTTGTTCTCACATTCAAGGTGATTCACTGATTGTTGTTCAGGTTATCATACAAGAAAATCACAACAATACTGATTAAAGCATTAAGTCAGTTAAAAAATGCTTACAATAACATGAAATTAAATATTAAAGTTGTCAATCTCCTTGTTTAGTAACTATTATCGCAAAAGTTTGTTCTCTACCTCGCCTACTTCTCACATGTTATCATGCTCTTCTTAATTGTAAATACATATTGAATAAGCAAGTACTATAGTCTTTGTGGCACTAATCAATGTCATTACTGATACCATGCCTATCTGCGTGAAGATCCATATGAGGTCACATCAGGTGAACTTTATAATCAGCCAGTCAGCATCAATGTTTCTAAATTCTTGGTATGAGTGAGTGAAACATTCAGACAGCCATAATCTGATTTCTGTAGCTTGAAAACAAATATAATCAGTCACTTCCAACTGCCAAAACATAAAGCTGCACCGTGATAGTGTTGTGGATATGTTACACACCCTGTCGTTTCTGAGCGGCATGGCATCTACACCCAAAAAAGAGTATGATCTAATTCATATTTGTGTTCGTACTGAGTTTTCATTGGTACAATTTGAAAATTCCTAATTGAGGTGGTAGAGACATGAGGCTGAATATCTTTGGAATGCTGACTTCTGATTGGCTCAAGAACCCAGGCATACTTCATTTTTGGAAGTATGGTCGAAAGTTCACTCAGGGTTCATCTGACCATGCTGACACGACTTTCTAATTACATGATCTTGAAGCAAAGAGATATTGTATCAGAGTTAAAGATCTGGATTATTGAGATTTGTTACAGCACCCCCTAAAATTAATAAGGCTAAGAGACCTTAATTATCATAACAAGTGTTTGGTATAGTCATTGCAAACAAATTGTAAAAACAGGGATAATAACAATGAATGTTATGATAATTAATATTCTTAGTATTATTACTCATTATTATTACTTGGTGCTTGGAAATACTTACGATGTTAACTGTAATTCGCACTGTCCACATGATGAATGTCTGTTGTGTCAGATATTTCGGTCAATGACATCCCCAATTACTGGCATGTATGCATACCGTGTATGAGGAAGATACAGATGCTCCTTAGAATAGTTATGTGTGAAACACTGAAATGTTTTTATAATGTACAAGTGAGACATCCAGCATCATTGATGTACAGCACAGAACATCATCAGCTCTTTTTACTTCGAGGGCACGGGTGGCCCATTTATCTAAGGCGCCGCAATTTGCTGTGCAGAGTTGCTTCCCTTGGGCACGCCAGAAACCTATGATTGTGGGTTCGAATCCTGTTTCGCCCTGATTATGTTTTTAGTTTTGTCAGCACCATACCCGTGCTCGTGGGTTTCACCGAAGTGGTAAACATCTAAGACCTGCATCACTTCGGGCTTTTCTCCCACATCAAGCTGACACACCATGATATAACTTGAATACTGTTAAAAGGGGCATTAAACACAACTCACTCACTCACTATCTTCTTTCATATATTTCAGAAAGCAATTGACCTTGTTACTAAGGCAACCGAAGAGGACAAGAACAAAAACTACGAGGAGGCTCTACGTCTGTATGAACATGGAGTAGAATACTTCCTGCATGCCATCAAATGTAAGAAATAGTCACTTTTATATCTTGTGCTTACTGTCCAGGCAATGTTGATGGTGTCAGTGTCATTCTGTTCTGATAATCCATGGGGAGAAGCAGCACTGTATCATACTCATGATGTCTGGACACATTCCCCCCCCCCCCCCCCCCCCCCCCCCCAAACAAATACACAATTCATGTTTCCCAACACTGATTTGGAGTACCTGACCATGTACCATTTTCACTTGTTGTGGAGTGGCATAACAGCTGTTTCATGTTTGTCATAATCCTTGTATTACTGTATATCGCCATCTATAAAGCGACCCCCACGTATAAGGCGACAAGCCTTCAAAATTGATGCTAATCTATATACCCCATCTATAAAGCAAATCGAAATTAAGCATGTCACCAGCGCATATGCAATCCCTACATTTGCAATAAAAACATGTTTGTCTTTTGCAGAAAAAAAAATACATTGTATGCCTTCAGCAAATTCAGGGAAACGAACAGATCATAACAATTAAACTTGGTCAAGACAAATATGAAATTTGAGATAAAATAACCACTAGACATGATGACTTACCGATTAAATTGTATTTCCTGTTCTGAAAGGCATTGTTTTATATGCAGAGATTAAGATTACCGTCTGTATTTTCTTGTAAACTAAGCCGAAAGTAGCAATCAGCTGTACACAGGTTTCTCGGAATCTACCGGTGATTCAGTTAAAAATTACACACTAATATAACTTTAAAGAATTTGGATACAATGATAGGAAGAATTGTATCTGAAACTATTATTTTATCAGGAATAATTTATTCCAATATCTTGTTATTTTTGTTCAGATTTACTAAATATATTTGAAATAAATTAATAAGGGTAGCACTTTGGTACTTTGATAGCGAAAACTTTATGTTGAAATATAGTTGTCAAACTACAATAAATATGACTTTCAGTGAGTCAGTGTCTGGCATTTATTATATATATCATGTATATAGCCATTCTCTATTCACTAAAGTTCGTTTCAAGGCTTCAATAGCGGTAATATGACCGTGGTTGCTGTAAATAATGGTGAGTTGTGTGATCTTCCGATCACTTCACATATGATTTTGCCAAAATGAATATAAACAATATTGAATGAAAATTTTAATAAAATTAATAAAATAGATTACAAACATCAGTCCAGGTATATAATGAACTCTTTTTTTAACCAGACAGTGTAATTACATGATTAATTTGTGTACTTCAGTACGGATTTGTTGACATGGTATTTCCAGTATTACGTGCTCTCAGTAATGTCTTTGGTTTGGGGAAAAACATAAAAACTATTCAACCCTGTGTATAAGACGTCTCCCTTGAAAGCCCCCTAATTCTAGGTACAAAAAAATCGCCTTATACACAATGATATATGGTGTCCATATTTTTGCCACTGGCATAAATTTGTCACTTCACTGTTGATGAACCAGTAATTATCTTCATTTGAAATCAGGCTTTTATTGACATACTGCAAAGTACCATTTAGAAAAGAGAGTGAAAAACCACATTAAGAAACAGATATAAACATGATAAATCCATCTTCCTACTCCATGTTTGGAAGGGCTGAAGACGGAAACTCATAATACTTGTTTGGCTTTACTTGCATGATTACCAGCAACGAAATTACATGTTCATGAACGTGATCAACTTGATATCATTGTGTATGTTGCTGCATCTGTCACAGTATCCCATTCATATTGGTTGTGCACCTGGTTCTGAAGGGTCTTGTAACACCATGAACCCAAGAAAACAAGTAAATGTTATTACTGGGACTCTTTCAGTGAAGGGTAGCCCAGTCTGAGATGCAGCAATTTGCTGTGCAGAGTTGAATCCATTGGGCAGAGAAGCTTGTGATCGGCGGTTGTGGGTTTTACCAAAGTGGTAAACGTCTGAGACCTACGTAAATTGGGCTTTTCTCTCACATCAAGCTGACCGTTATATAACTGGAATACCATTCAAAGAGGTGTTATTCCCACCCGCCTGCCCACCCAAATACCAAAACAACTCACTCACTCACTCACTCACTCACTCACTCACTCACTCACTCACTCACTCTCGTGGTATGTATAGGAACAAAAGAATTGATTGATTGCTAGAACGTTGTAGAAACTAACTTGTTTGTTTCATGATTTTAGATGAGGCTCAGAGTGACAAAGCTAAGGAGAGTATTCGAGGAAAATGCATCCAGTACCTGGAAAGGGCAGAGAAGCTCAAGCAGTATGTCAACAAGAAGAACAAGAAGAAGCCAGTGATGGATGGCGAGAGCTCTTCTGGTGGGAAGAAGTCTGGGTAAGAATGATGGTTCTCTTTTGTCATGAAGATGTTAACGACTATTGGCATTAACCACCATTTTGGATCCAGAGCCGAATTAACCCAAGTATCTTATTTATTTTATAAATGGTAATTGGATGGTCACTATTGTTGCAGTGTGTCCAAGTAACTGGATCAAGTAGATGGACTATCACACTGCAGTAAACAATATTCCAGCTGTGTTACAGTGGCCTCTAGATAATGAGTCAAACCAGTGATTGATTCAACGTTAGAAATTGGCTCTCATCCTGTTGTCCTTGCCAAATTGCCCAATAGTTCCACCGCTGTAATGATAACATCCACATCCTCAGGGCAGGGTGTCACACTATATGACATGTCATACTTTTTAGCCTTCTGATCGTCATTAGTCTGTTTCGGCCGTATTCTGCTCCAGAAACTACTTGGCGTCAGTTTTTAGTGGATTGGGTCCAAGTGCAGTGAATATAGCTCCTGAACACTTTTTACATGATTTGAACTCACTTTGTCGATTGATTGATTGAATTGCTTTCCTTTCCCTTAACTTTGCCATGTTTACATCTTGATTTTAGAGAATCTAAGAACAATGATGATTCAAGTGATGAAGACTCAGACAAAGACCCGGAAAAGAAAAAATTCCAGACTCAGCTGACAGGTCAGTGTTAAAACTACCATAACTTTGAAAAGAGGATACTATTGCCAAATCTCTAATGTTTTAGCCAAATTGAGAATGTTTAAGAAGAAACTTCAGAATGATTTTTGTCTTGAAGTATGAAAACCACTTGAGCATGTAGAGCAATAATTGTTCTATTCTATCTGAAGCCAATTATTACTCAAGCCTAAATCAGTATATTATTCACCTGTGATGATCCCCAGCAACCGATGCTTGTTTCAAGTGGCGACTAAATGAATCCTATGGTCAGACTTGGTGCTTTTGTTGAAAGCGTGTCATTGTGTCCCAGTTGTGAGGACCGATGCTCATGATGTCAATCACTGAATTGTGTGGACCAGTATTTACTGACTGCTGTTATATTAATGGAATATTGCTGAATGCAGCATTAAACACCAAACAAGAAAGCCTATTATTAAATGGTGTTTCTGTCTCCAGGAGCTATTGTAATGGAGAAGCCGAATATCAGGTGGGAGGATGTAGCTGGTCTTGAGGGAGCCAAGGAAGCCTTAAAAGAAGCTGTTATTCTGCCTGTCAAGTTCCCACATTTGTTCACAGGTATGTACGTAATGAATGCCATGCTGATTATGCCATTCTGTATGACTTGTTTAGTTACTGTAATCGATGTAATAAGCGCCCCACTCTAATAAGCGCCCACGGCGATATTTGATAATATACTGAACAGCATTGAAAACGCTCCAGCAATAAATCTTGAAATATTACAAAAACAACTTGAGCAATGATTGATTTTAATTAGAACAGATATAGACGGATTATTAAGAAAGACGACAAAGGAAACAGGAATACCACACAGTAATTACATTTACGTCATCAGTGTGAGGAAGACACATAGGGTTAAAATGAAAAGTCAATATCTGGTATGTCCTCCATTGGCAGCAACACAGGCCATGCAACGTCTTTTCATTGATCGAATAAGTCTGCGAATAGTTTTCTGTGGGATAGCATTCCACTCTTGACGTAGTGTATCTTCAAGTTCTCTCAGGTTCCGTACTTGCGGACAACGTGAGAGGCGTTGACCCAGGTAATCCCATAGATGTTCAGTTGGCGATAGATGGGCGATAGATGGGTGACAGGGCTGGCCATGGAAGCAGAGGCACATTATTGTTCGCTAGGTACTGTGTTGAAACACGTGCCATGTGCGCTCTTGCATTACCTTGCTGGAAGGTGTGCATATCCTGGTGCTGATGAAAGAATGGGATGACGTCATTTGCCAATATGTTATTCCTGCAGTAAAGGGCATTAACTCTTCCACGACAAACATGGAGCTCTGTTAGATGGTTATGACTGATGCCGCCCCACACCATGACACTCCCTCCCCCCCATTGATCTGTGTGTACAACGCAGTCATTGTGGTAACGTTCTCCACGTCGACTCCACACTCGCAGTCGACTGTCAGCATTCCGTAAATGAAAACGGGACTCATCAGAGAACAGCACACCATGCCACTGCTGCAATCTCCAATGATGATGCCTTTCGGCCCAACGCAGACGTTCATTTCGATGTCGATCAGTGAGTATGGGTCCAACATATGGACGTCGAGCACGTAGCCCAGATGAGCGGAGACGTCGATGTACGGTGTCAGCGCTGATCAAACCCCGTCAGCCTTGTACGGTTGCTGCAGTCCTGGTAACCGAAAGTGTACGATCACGAAGATGCCGATGAACAATATGGTGATTCTGACATGGTGTAGTTACAAGACGTCTGCTGGTATCTGCTCAGTAGCCTGAGGACTGTTGAATGATGGCATTGAAACCGTTGTGCAACGACTCTACTTGACGTACCAACTTGAAGCATGCCCAAGGCACGTTCACGTTCCTCTGCTGTTAATCTTGGCATTTCTTGTGTCAGTACCCTTTACGTCTGCAGCAACAAGTGATGTGGCTTTTAAAAGTCTGTCTTTTATAGCCATATTCTGCATGCTTCCCGTGAAACAAAACATGTTTTCCATGATGCGCACGCAATTTGTAGCTTTTTTGTGTTGTCACTCACAAAAAAATTAGGAATGTGTTTTGACGAGCTGTTCTTCTTCATGCTTCGTCCAGAACGTTGTATATTACTCATTCAATTATATATTTTTATATGACATAAGCCCGGATAAAATTACATCCATTTTCATGGTGGTGCGTTTTCAATGCTGTTCAGTATATATTGGCTAGTGAACAATCCCAATAAGCACCCCTTCTGATTGATCAATGTACACAAGACTTATTTATCTGCGTATAATACGTACTCGTATAGCCCCCATATTTCTAATTTTGAGAGCGCCCTGGGCGCTTATTAGGTCGAATACGGCATGTATCAGGACTGAAAGTGATAAGTTCAACATGTTCATAATTTCCATTTTGTCCTGTAATGCAAAAATGAAACAAACAGTAATTATTTTAGGTTACAAATAGTGAACAATGTCTTTTGATTTATTTTGTACATGTTGTAAGAGGCAATAGGGATTGGTTAATACTGGAGCAAAGGATGGGAGTCTGTCTCATGAACAGCCAATCTTGATGTTGATGTGTGTCAATTTATTACATGGAACGAATGCAAGAATGTTTTACTATACTACTAAAAAAAAAACTAGAAATGTTCTGAAAGTTTTGTTTGTGTGTGTTTTAGGGAACAGAAAACCCTGGCGAGGAATTCTTCTTTTTGGGGTAAGTTCACTGATCATTAATTACAGGGTTCCCTTATGGAGACTCCCGGGTAGTATTATCCCCATGTAAATTGTGTGCGTCTTAGACTTGACAAAAATGGAATGGTGGCCTCGGTCGGTGATTTGGCAGATTTCGTATTATCGTGCCCCTATGACATGAATTGCTGCTCATGCTTTCAGTCACTGGTTTGCTTTATCCAGACATATACTTACTCACTTGATGGCAGGATTCATCATTTTCAGAAAAAGACAAGCTTGTACAGTGATCCCTCGCTATTGGGCTCTTCGCTAAAGCGCTACCTCGGTTACTTTGCGCGGTATCGCATGGCTCCCAAAATTTATGTACACTTTTAATACTGAGAGTGTTCATTTGCACACAACGCTTCTCATTGCATAATCAACCGTTTGAAAACATCCGCGGCAAGTCCCGGAAATACGATAGTTCTACTACTTAACTTTTCACAATATACATCCTTTGATCTTAAAAGCTCATGCATGCAATAAAAGAGAACCACAAGCGAAGTTTATTTTCTTAATTAGTGGGCAATCCAATTTGAGGCGACACTGTCAACTCACATGTAGTTGCTGTCACAACACGGCGGTCATTCCTTTTGATTCGGATCAAGTAACCGTACCAAACCAATTAATCTGGCTTGAATGTGTATCTATATTTGCATGAATGTGTTTGAATGCGCATAGTGCTGGTCAAAACTCTCGTTTTCCGTATTTTAAGCAACATGACCAATCAATGCCACTGAATCACTCCGTACTTTGTAATGGATTTTGATTGGCTCTTCACTCATAGCCTCTGTTACTACCACTATCGATCGATATTTTCATGTAAGTAGACTACATTCACATTGAATGTGACAGTTAAGGCTTGTAAATAAAAACAAATGCCGAAAACATAATGGATATATATTTTTACACTATGAACGGTAAACAACTGGTATCATTGCAATGTGAGAGACAAGGCGAAGATCGTGAGATTGGCTGAGTGCGTTCCCCCGCCTCGGCCTCGGTTAAACGGCTCATCGTCTATAACGCCCACCAATTATTTGGACCCCATTGGTAGCGTTGTAGCGAGGGACCACTGTATTTGGAAGTTAGTTAGTGGTCTGGTAGTAGTCTATACATGAACTTTGCTGTGTAATGCAAAGTAAGTATGCTTTTATCATCATGGTCATGATAGACACATGGTCCTTGACATTCAAACATTCAAGATAAAGTACCTGCATTATTGGGTTGATTGTAATTTCAGCCCCCAGGAACCGGCAAATCCTTCTTAGCCAAGGCCGTTGCTACGGAGGCCAACAACTCCACCTTCTTCTCTGTGTCATCTTCAGATCTTGTCTCCAAATGGCTGGGAGAGAGTGAAAAGTATGTCACATATTTTTTGGCTGTAGTTTGGGCTTGTGTATCATCTCATGAAAGTAGTTAAGTCTGATTTAGCACTTTTAACACCAAGAGCTTCTAACCTATGTCTGAGCACATCTTTCCACAATTGAAAGTAGACATCCAGAATGCATCCCAAGTACCCTGTGGTTGTCGTAAGAGCTGACTAGATGAGGATTGGGTGCATGACCTCTCAGTTAAACCATCACTGTACTCATCAACTTGGTTCACTGCTCGTGTTATCAATGATCATTGGTCCGGACAAGACTGGATTATTTACAAGCCACTGTAATATTGACAGTGTATTGCTGACTTTGAATACTAGAATATTTACACACACAGGAAATATTATAAAGATCTATGTAGTGAGTTTCGTGTTTTATTTAGGTTTTAAAAAGTGTCTTTTTTGTCTGTTTATCCTGATTCCTGAATGTTTGTAGATGTCATTCCATTTGATTGAAAAGAAAACCACAGTGGGAAATGACAGTAATTAGCATTAGTGTATTTCAATGAAGATAATCTTTCAAGATAGGCTATGTTTTTCAGATTAGTGAAGACACTGTTTGAACTTGCACGAGAGAACAAACCAAGCATCATCTTCATTGATGAAGTAGATGCCCTTTGTGGCTCTCGTAGTGAGAATGAGTCAGAGTCAGCCCGGAGAATCAAAACAGAGTTTCTAGTCCAGATGCAGGGAGTCGGGAATGACAATGACAATGTTCTCGTCCTTGGAGCAACAAATATCCCATGGAGTCTTGACTCAGCTATCAGGAGAAGGTATGTGTCTCTTAACACATGGTGTCGACCTTTCATCATGACATCACAGGTGATTTTATGTGACATGGACAGATTATAAGGTTGATGAAATGACATTTCTCTATGTGATCAACATGCCCTACATTGAAAAACAATTGTTACCAAATTTACTTACTCTCTGCGCAATTGTTTAGCACAAATTATGTGCCTACTTTGAATTAATGTTTACCAAGGCAAGCCATAGTAACAATTTACCCAGTTACTTAGCAGGGAAAGGTAATATGTGTAATTCCACATAGTTTCTCGGTTTAATATTTTCAAAGTATGTCATTGTTGACTTATTGAGTCAAGTTACTGACTTTATCAGTCTTCCCGTTTACCGGTAATAACCATTTTTTTACCGGTAAAATTTGACAAGTACCGGTAATTCATGTGACTGCCAGTCCCTGTGGACTGGCAAATAGAGTACCTTATAAATCTTTGTTGTTGAACAAAACATCGGCGACATTCATACCAGTATATTTTTCGAATGAAGTCAGCTCGTCTGTTACCTTCAGGGTTTCCCCTTATCTATTTTAAGTGCAAGGAAATAACATTTTGCTTTGGTTTGAGGTTAAATATATATTTGTAGCGACTTGAAATACAAAAAAAAAGGAGATAATATTGACTGAACTTTGTGTGAATGAATTTTTATACATTTTTTTAATTGTTGAAAGTTAGGACTGACAAAAATTAGGAGGGGACTGATAATTTTTAGTGTGGCCAGTCCACTAGGACTGGCGGGGCGGTCGGGTAGCCTAGTGGTTAAAGCATTCGCTCGTCACGCCGAAGACCCGGGTTCGATTCCCGACATGGGTACAATGTGTGAAGCCCATTTCTGGTGTCCCCTGCCGTGATATTGCTGGAATATTGCTAAAAGCGGTGTAAAACCATACTCACTCACTCACTCACCACTAGGACTGGCAGTTTCAAAAGCCAGCGGGAACACTGACTTTATTCATCTTCTTGATTTCCTTTTACATTCATACAAGCATGAAGATGAGTCTTGTGGCAACTCTTGGTTGAAGCCCAGTGTTTCAATCTATTCAGGGAACCAACATTACATATTTCATGTTTTTCAAGAGTGTCAAGTTATTGATGAGGAAATGCTACAATGTTTCAGATTTGAGAAGAGAATCTATATCCCCCTCCCTGAGGCTCCAGCCAGGACTGAGATGTTCAAACTGCATCTTGGCACCACACCACACCAGCTGAATGATGAAGACTTCAGAGAACTGGGGATGAAGACAGATGGGTAGGTCGATGGAACTAGGTAGATGGGTGGGGTCAATTAGGTAGATTGATAGGCCCACGAAACTAGATCAATGGGGTAGACGGCTAGGTCCACGAGCTGGGTAGATGGGTAGGTCAATGGAACTAGGTTAGTTTGGTAGATGGGTAGGTCCATGGAACTGGGTCAGTTGGGTAGATAGATTAATCCATGGAACTAGGTTAGTTTGGTAGATGGGTAGGTCAGTTTGGTAGACAGGTAGGTCCATGGAACTGGGTAGATGGGTAGGTCCATGGGACTGGGTAGATTGGTAGGTTCATGGAACTAGGTCAGTTGGGTAGATGGGTAGGTCCATGGAACTAGGTCAATTTGGTAGATGGGTAGGTCCATGGAACTGGGTAGATGGGTAGGTCCATGGGACTGGGTAGATTGGTAGGTTCATGGAACTAGGTCAGTTGGGTAGATAGGTAGGTCCATGGAACTAGGTCAGTTTGGTAGATGGGTAAGTCCATGGAACTGGGTAGATGGGTAGGTTCATGGAACTAGGTCAGTTGGGCAGGTCCATGGAACTAGGTCATTTGGGTATATGGGTAGGTTCATGGAACTAGTCAGTTTGGTAGGTTCGTGGAACTAGGTCAGTTTGGTTGATGGGTAAGTCCATGTAACGAGGTCATTTGGGTATATGGGTAGGTTCATGGAACTGGGTAGATGGGTAGGTCCATGGATCTGGGTAGATTGATAGGTTCATGGAACTAGGTCAGTTTGGTAGGTTCATGGAACTAGGTCAGTTGGGTAGACGGCTAGGTCCACGAACTGGGTAGATGGGTAGGTCAATGGAACTAGGTTAGTTTGGTAGATGGGTAGGTCCATGGAACTGGGTCAGTTGGGTAGATAGATTAATCCATGGAACTAGGTTAGTTTGGTAGATGGGTAGGTCAGTTTGGTAGACAGGTAGGTCCATGGAACTGGGTAGATGGGTAGGTCCATGGGACTGGGTAGATTGGTAGGTTCATGGAACTAGGTCAGTTTGGTTGATGGGTAAGTCCATGTAACGAGGTCATTTGGGTATATGGGTAGGTTCATGGAACTGGGTAGATGGGTAGGTCCATGGAACTGGGTAGATTGATAGGTTCATGGAACTAGGTCAGTTTGGTAGGTTCATGGAACTAGGTCAGTTGGGTAGATGGGTAGGTCCATGGAACTAGGTAGATGGATAGGTCCATGGATCTGGGTAGATGGATAGGTCCATGGAACTGGGTAGATGGGTAGGTTCATGGAACTAGGTCAGTTATGTAGGTCCATGGAACTAGGTCAGTTTGGTAGATAGGTAGGTCCATGGAACTGGTTAGATTGATAGGTCCATGGAACTGCATAGAGAACGATAGGTTCATGGAACTAGGTCAGTTTGGTAGGTTCATGGAACTAGGTCAGTTTGGTAGATGGATGGGTCCATGGAACTGGGATTAGTTTAGTGTAGTTTACTGAACTAGGTCAATTGGGTAGACGGGTATGTCCATGGAACTAGGTAGATGGGTAGGTCCTATGGCTATCATGAGTTGAATGGCTCGATTTAGTTGATGGGTGTTTGCATTTGACTTGGTTGACTGGGCCCTAGGTATCTGTAGTATAACAGTTGTTTTACTTCCCACTATTGTGAAACTGCCCCTTAGCATGTAATTTTATCATTCATAACATCATGACAGACAAGTTATTTTTCTTGTCTCTTGTTCATGGATTACATAGATATCTATTGATGTGGCATGCAGTGAATTGTTTTCCTTGTGTGTGCAGGTTCTCTGGTGCTGATATCAGTATTGTCGTCCGAGATGCCCTCATGCAGCCTGTGAGGAAAGTACAGACAGCTACTCATTTCAGAAGAGTAAGAACAACACTCATTGATGATCCTGCTATTAATCATGATCTGGTTTCAGATTAGTTTGGGGCCCTTTGGTAAAATACTGGGATGGGTCTGATACCATTTATGAATGTAGTGCAAACATATTTCCAATTGGTTAAATTGTATGTATTTTTATTCCTCCCATAAAAGTGTGAATGAGCATATCGTAAGACCATTTAAGCATCACTGATGTATGACTGTATGTTTCAGTGTACATATGGAGCCAATCTCATTTGAGTCTTCTAGCTCGAACATGGCTTTCAGCATCTTCAGTAGATTTTAGTGTATTTCGTTGAGCATACAAGACCAAAAAGAATTTTACTAAAATCGGACTGCAAACTAGTGGCTAAAGGCGCATACTGCATTTGTATGGGTAATGGAGCGATTGAGTAAATGTGGTATGTGCTAAAAGAGTTAAGGACGACCTGATTTCTATAGTTAATCTGTCATGCCATGTCAAATTAACTTAAGTCATATGAAAGAGTCGGGTGGTCTTTAACTTTTTTTGAGTAGTATAGTATTCCAGTTTGCAATGTTGCAGTTACTTATCATAAAACATCTATATATCACTAGCAAAAGCTCCAGCAGTTGTGGGAGCAGGGAACATTATCACATAAAGTAAGTCAGGTCTCAGCTTGGCCCTCTCTGCAGTTTGCCCAGCATATATCCATCGAAGGTGGGGGCATGATTGGCCTAGTCGCTGTGCAGAGTTGTGTCCCTTGGGCACACCAGAAACCTATGATTGTGGGTTCAAATCCTGGTTCGCCCTGATTATGTTTCTAGGTTTGTCAGCACCATACCTGTGCTCGTGGATTTCACAGAAGTGGTAAACATCTGAGACCTGCATTACTTCGGGGTTTCCTACCACATTAAGCTGACACACCGCAATATAACTGTTAAAAGCTGTGTTAAAAACCCAACTGACTCACTCCTTCGTAGCTGCAGGGAATGTTTTTTGTTTGCAAAAGTAGTTCAGTCTTTACCAGTATGGCCTTGTGATATGGTCATTTGTCATTTTGTATTAGCTACTTTTAAGACAAATGTGAAAATAGTGTTCATGTGTCTTGTCTGTTTCTGTGCAGGTGCGTGGTCCGTCCCGATCTGATCCTAGTGTGATACATGATGACCTCCTAACTCCCTGCTCACCTGGCGCTCCCGGTGCTATGGAGATGAGCTGGACTAGTGTAGATGGAGACAAGCTACTAGAACCCATAGTATCAAAGGTAATTGTCTCTGTTGCTGTATTTGTTTGCGATGCTCTTGACTCCAGGGACAGTCGGGTAGCCTAGTGGTTAAAGCGTTGGCTCGTCATGCCGAAGACCCGGGTTCGATTCCCGACATTGGTACAATGTGTGAAGCCTATATCTGGTGTCCCCCGCCGTGATATTGCTGGAATATTGCTAAAAGCGGCGTAAAACCATACTCACTCACTCACTCACTAGTGGTTGAAGCGTTCACTTCTCACGCTGAAGACCCGGGTTCGATTCCTGACATTGGTACGATTTGTGAAGCCCATTTCTGGTGTCCCAAGCCATGATATTGCTTGAATATTGCTGAAAGCGGCGTAAAAACATACTCACTCGCTCACTCTTGACTCCATGTTGCTCATGTCATGTCTGTGCCAAATGTCATTCTCTTTAAAGGTCATTGACTTTGGTCATTATAATATGACTGATGTCAACATGATCAAGGTCACCAAGGTTGTTGTCAGACATGGTGGTAAACTCAGGAATACTTGATTTTGATAAATCAGAAGATCATTTTTGTTAATGATTATTAATGACTTATAAACAAATTCTTCAATATTTGCTATGTGTCTTGTTAAAAGACTTGTTAGAAGTATTAATCAGACTGTATTTTCATTATTCTCCAGTGACATTTGTAATAACATATTTGTCAGCTCAAGTTAAAGATTGAAGGTCAAAGTTAGACAAGAAATGCATGTAACTGTCACACATTGGGCATATGTTTTCCAATACCAGAGTGCATATAACTTTCTGACTAAGATAGCTGTAAATATGGGACTTTCTGTTTTAAAGTCTAACATATTTACTCCTCTCTTTCACAAGAAGGAGGTTGTACCCTGTTTTGATATACTGAAGAAACAAAGAAAAATATCATGTTATCAGTAGTTCGTGAAAACATTTTGGTCTGGTGAAACCCACCACCAACCGTAGGATTCAAACAATAAGTATGAGTCAGGATAAGATAAAATATGTATTTTTTAGGATAAAAATATTACTAATACTTATCCTGACTCCTACACTAAAGCGCCCACTCAGCCGTCTCCTCTTGCTCTTGTTTCGGCCGAAATGGGAAATGTGTATGGGAAATGAGATAGTGACGAGTAACCGTGCTTGGTCAGGGGTGCTTTCGGCTGAGATGTTTTCTCTGTTCTCCGGGAACACAGTTCAGGAAGTTTCCGCTACCTTTCGGAAATGAGTAGAGATAAGCAATGAGTATGAGTCAGGATAAGTAGAAATAATATTTTATTGTCTAATTGACAATCCTGATCCCACTGTCAAGATGCAGGTTAGAATTGTCTCCACCAAAGCATATTTATCATAAGAGGCTAACTCACAGGATCGGGTGGTCATGCTCGCTGACTTGGTTGATGCATAGATTGATGTTCATGATATCAATCACTTTATTGTCTGGTCCAGACTAATTTATTTACAGACCGCCATCATATAGCTGGAATATTGCTGATTGTGGCATAAACTAAAGAAAGAAACAAACGACATGTTCGGTTACTTACTCATACTTGAATCTTAATGTGTTTAACTTACTTTTCATGTCTTCTTTATTCATGATTATGAGACCCGTGAAGATCCGGGGTAGAATAGGTCTTCAGCAACCCATACTTGCCGTAAAAGGCGACTATGCTTGTCGTAAGAGGTGACTAACGGGATCAGGTGGTCAGGCTTGCTGACTTGGTTGATGATGCATGTCATCGTATCCCAATTGCGTGGATTGATGCTCCTAATGTCAATCACTGGATTGTCTGGTTCAGACTCGATTATTTACAGAGCGCCATCATATAGCTGGAATATTGCTGAGTGCGCCGTTAAACAATAAACAAACAAACAAACAAATCATGAGTATGCATAAGTGTAAAGAAAAGCGTAATGATATTATGTTTGATGTTAATTTCAGACTGATATGCTGATGTCCTTAGCAACGTCCAAACCCACAGTTAATGAAGATGACTTGAAGAAGTTGGTTAAGTTTACAGAAGATTTTGGACAGGAAGGATAGAGTACAGCACCAAGTGTACATTATTCACTGTTACCATGGTTACTTATTTGTGTAATTTATGTCATGTATATGTTGGTAAGTGCTGTGTTTATCAAGTGAGGCTTCAAATATATCCTGTAAAACCCCACCAGATGACAATCTGCAATAACTGGTTAAAATGTTTGGTTAAGTTGTGAGTGTTGTCAAAGTGGTAATTTGATTTGTAACATTTTACATGTTGGATCAGTTTTACTTTTGAACACCACTAATGCTTATTTTCAAACAAGGACTTAAATAGAATTCTGAATAAAGGTACGATGCCATTCAACTTCCCACAACTTTGATCCTGTTGGTGTGAAGTCAAGTTCTATCAATTCCCACATGATTGCTCATGAACTATAGAAAATACAACACCTAATGACAATGGTTCACAGTATGCTAATGAACAAAGATTTGTTGGTTTGTGAGGTATGGACTGAAAACTGCTGGTGGTATCCTTAAGCTGCTGTGTTCAGGACCACACTACTACACATAAACACCATGACAATACTTTCTAGGAACTTCATAAAATTGAAGAGTGTCACATTTCATATATTCTTTAGGTATGCTGAAACCCCCAAACTGCATGTTGCAGTTATCCAATATTATGAGACCACATGAGCTGTCCAAGGTATAACCTAGTCCCCAAATTCTTCATGAAGTTGGGCCCAGCCTCCCAGAAAATGCAGGTGAAAACAGTTCATTTTATGACACTGTGAATGAGATGTTATGTGAGATGTCTCTGAGTACCTATATGCTGATGGCATAGACAGGATTGGCAATGATGACCCTCCATTCACCTGTGAATGCATCATTTAGAGAAAATGAGGATGTATATAGTTAGCTGCGTGTGTCATTCATTGCCAGTAGCATCACCAAACTCTGTCAGGAACTTATTGACAGATGATCAAGCGGTGTATTTACCCATATAGTGAACTTGTGAATGTTTATTATGTCACTGTGATAATTACTACTTTGTACAGTACACATTCATCCTACTTATCATCTTGAATTGCGAGCAAATTCTTTGCTGTACACTAGTGGATAACATAGGAAACTGGAAATAAATCATGTAGCTGCAATATTTGTATTGCAATGTTTGTGTGCTGGTCATCATTTTTATCCTACGTCAGTTGTAGAAATTGCTGTGTTCTTATTGAAACTTTGTCAATTGTTTACAGTCAGTCATAGATGCTTTAATATTTTGTTAACATATATTTGGTAGCGTTATTAACAAAATATTTGTCATATTTGTTGGAATGTTTTGTTTTCACTGAGGTTTTGGAAGACATGAGTCAAGTCATACAGTTCAGTTCAGTTTCATAATATTTTTGAAGATGAGCATGCTGATAGGAGGCGTGACAACTTCGAAGCAAGATATTACAATATAGTAACTGAGTACTAGGATTATTGAAGAAATGAACAGTACACATAAAACAACCATGTAACATTATGTTCCAATTGACATTTTCTCCTGTAAACATGGTAAATTTGAAAAGGGAATGCATAGGTATGACTTTGTTAAATGATGATTTACATTTCATACTTTCTGTTGTGTATTTTACACTTGTCTTTGATACAACAAATATAGTACTTTACAATACCTAAAATGAAGAGGTGTTTTGAAAAAAGGAGGCTGTCATGTGTTAAAAAAACACTCTTAAGCTTGTTTGACAATTCTTATGCATTTCTACTTCTTGAAATATAACTTGGAGGAAATCTTGGTACTATATCTTGTTTTGCATGTGTTAGAATGCTAATGCGTGTATGTGTTGTAAATATCTTTTAATATTTTTATTTGACAGCTTGTATTATAGTTAATCTCACCTACCGTAGCTCAACCATCAACAGAAGACTGGATATCACTAGTACATTGTGATGATGTAAATGGAGAATAGTGCCAGTGGTTATTGTAACTTACCACAGCTATACCAGTGACAGGATGTAGGAGTATAAATTCATTAGAAAAGTAACAGATGAGTGAGGGAAATGTTTGCAGTGCATCGTATGACTAGGAATGGTGGGTAGCCTGGTTGTTAAAGCATTAGCTTGTCACTCTCAACACTTTGGTTCATTTAAGAAGTGACTTCAATATTTACATTTATGCCTCCATAAACGCAGAAACAGATAAATAAGTCAACAATGATAATTTCACTGACTGTTTATTTGATAATGAACACTAAAAACTGTAGACAACAATATAAAATCAGGGAAATTATTCAGCGCAGTAATGCATCCCAAGCCATAACTACTTTTTTTTCAGCCAATCAGGAAACAGTTGTCTAGTAGTGGGCCTGGTCTATTTTTAGGTTTATGTAAACAAATGTAAACAAAATTGCTTGGTAAGCCATTTAACTTATTTATTTCCCTACATGTACAACATGTCAAGGCCAGGCATCACAACATGGCTGTAATATTGCTGAAAGAGGTATTACTCATGGTAGAACCTTCTTTCTGAATCTCAGTGTGACTATTACAAACTTTAGAAATCAGCCACAGATATCTGAATCTTGATACCGTCTGAATATTGAAAATAGTTTCTATTTGTCTCAATACTGAAACTTCAATCATGTGACTGATAGGTTATCAGTAATATCTTTGGAAAACACTCATGAACTTTTGAACTTGACTCTGTACTTTCAGTTAGAGATGCATTTTTTCTAAGAATTAAGTCCTTGATTTAAAAGTAGTTTCTGATCTGGTTCTATTTGTATGATAATGTCGATGCGTGGTAATTTGAAGGGCACATGTTGTCCGAAGTTTTGAGATATATGAGTGACAACAAGCTGTGATGTAAACCGTTGTTTTTACTCCATCTAAACACAGAAGGAGTGGTGTAGTTCAGTGCTCATGCTGAACAGGTTAGATTTCTAAAAGGGTACACTGAGTAATGCAGATCCCTGGTGTCCCTGAATTAACACTAAATGTGGTGCAAACCCAAATTAACTAACTCACGACATCAGTGACCAACAGCCAACATTTGAAAGGAAACCTATGATTAATGGCATTTCATCTTAAAATATTTGTCATGTTTGCAAGCAGATGTACAACAATGGCCTTTTTACTAGTATTGCCCTTAGTTTGAAAAATTATTTTGTGGATTGTTTTCAAATGGTCACAGATTCTTTTTGACAAGGTATACTGTGCCCTTCTGTCATTTATATAGGCAATAAAGTTAATTAATGGTTACCTATATTTCTGAGAGTTAAAGGCAACAGTTGGAATGGTCTGGTGCAAGTGTATTATGTAACTGTAATATAATTGTACATAGGATGCAGAGTTGTGTGGTAGATGAGTTAGCATGCCTAGGGCAACACCCAGGGCATGTGATGAAGCTGTTGTTTGTGATTAGAAGCTGACATCCATTGACTGATGTAACATAGAACACACCGTAACAAGCCCGGAGACTGAAGACACTGAAGCTTGGTTAGTAACCATGGTAAAATATTTCATGTCATTGCCAGTCACAGGTGCATTTTCTCAAACCGAAAACCCTAAAGGTTTGTATGCATGGTTAATTATTTCAGACAAATTCATATTCTTCATTAGTAGTGTGTAATCTCCACATCAATATGGACATAGCAGCCAGAATGAATATTGCCATGGCAAGCCAATACAGAGTGCTCACTGTAATATTACAAAGTTGAAGACTTTGTTTTTAGTTGTTTTCAGGTAAGGCTTTTGTAAATAGCAATATGATGAGGACCTGTGTAGATGCAGCCTATCAATTGATTGTAAATTTGCCTAGATCGGATGCTTGTCATTGTTGTAAAATATATTTCTAAAACTTTCATCTTGTAATAAAACTCCATTCAGTCAATTAGAGTGTTGTGTGCATGTTTCATATTGTTTGAAATTCGCTATGTTGTCAATAAAGTAAAGGTCAGTGGTTCAATCAACTGGCGGCGCAGTGCAAAATGAGACTTAAAGATGGTACTTGTTACCCTGTCTGGTGTTGGGCATTAAGGTGATACAACAAGGACTGTTTGGGTTGGAGGTATCCATCTGAACATTCAAACTGCAGCTTTGTATCATAGTGGACGAGCACCATAAAACTGGCATAAGTCTGGATAGTACGTTCGATCCCTGGCTGCAGCATTCCAAAATACGTTAAAAAATGGTACTTGTTGTTACCCTGTCTGGGATTCAGCATTAAGGGGATAAAACAAGGACTGGTCGGCTTGGAGTGAGTAAACTATCGGAGTGAGGTATTCGTGTTAGACTGCGGCATGGTATCTCAATGGGCTAGCACTATACAATTGGCAATACTTCGGCATAGTCCGGACTAGTACAAGCAGCAACACACATATACACACATATGTGCATGCACATCGCTATATAGGTTCAATAATCTTGAATGTGACATTAAACCCCATTTCACCTCACCCACCTCTCATTCAAAACAAAGGTTCATTTTTCTGAATGTCACTTAAAGCATATTGGAGTATTATGATTGCCATATGAATGATGCTAAAATAACCAAAGACGTAAATTCCAAATGAAACTGGAGTGATATATTTAAGCTACAATCTGGGTATCAATGACTCCACAATTCCAGCTTTGTTTGCTAGAGAGGCTACCAATAGGGGTTGACCAACAAGACAAATGTGTAGAAGTGTACGTAAAATCATTGCCCACTGTGATGTCACCTCGTGTTATGGGGCTGCAGCTGGTACATCGTGATTAGTAATGTACTCTTTCCGTTTGATTACTATTCCTGATCTTCATCCTGTTTAAACACTGAAATACGACGTCATCTCTGAATGAGCTCTGGCTCTAACCCCCTTTCTCTTTGACTATGACCCCACTCTCAATGGCTCTGATGCTGGCCCCAACTCACTGTGATCCCCTCTGATTCTGGCTCCAACTCACTGTGATTCCTTCTGACTCTGGCTCCAACTCACTGTGATCCCCTCTGACTCTGGCTCCAACTCACTGTGAACCCCCACTGATTCTGGCCCCAACTCACTGTGATCCCCTCTGACTCTGGCCCCAACTCACTGTGATCCCCCCTGAATCTGGCTCCAACTCACTGTGATCCCCTCTGATTCTGGCCCCAACTCACTGTGATCCCCTCTGATTCTGGCCCCAACTCATTGTGATCCCCTCTGACTCTGGCCCCAACTCACTGTGATCCCCTCTGACTCTGGCCCCAACTCACTGTGATCCCCCCTGACTCTGGCTCCAACTCATTGTGATCCCTCTGACTCTGGCTCCAACTCACTGTGATCCCCTCTGACTCTGGCTCCAACTCACTGTGATCCCCTCTGACTCTGGCCCCAACTCACTGTGATCCCCTCTGACTCTGGCCCCAACTCACTGTGATCCCCCCTGAATCTGGCTCCAACTCACTGTGATCCCCTCTGATTCTGGCCCCAACTCACTGTGATCCCCTCTGATTCTGGCCCCAACTCATTGTGATCCCCTCTGACTCTGGCTCCAACTCACTGTGATCCCCCCTGACTCTGGCCCCAACTCACTGTGATCCCCTCTGACTCTGGCCCCAACTCACTGTGATCCCCCCTGACTCTGGCTCCAACTCATTGTGATCCCTCTGACTCTGGCTCCAACTCACTGTGATCCCCTCTGACTCTGGCTCCAACTCACTGTGATCCCCTCTGACTCTGGCTCCAACTCACTGTGATTCCTTCTGATTCTGGCTCCAACTCACTGTGATCCCCTCTGACTCTGGCTCCAACTCACTGTGATCCCTCTGACTCTGGCTCCAACTCACTGTGATTCTTTCTGATTCTGGCCCCAACTCACTGTGATCCCTCTGACTCTGGCTCCAACTCACTGTGATTCCCTCTGACTCTGGCTCCAATTCACTGTGATCCCCTCTGATTCTGGCTCCAACTCATTGTGATTCCCTCTGACTCTGGCCCCAACTCACTGTGATTCCCTCTGACTCTGGCTTCAACTCACTGTGATCCCCTCTGACTCTGGCTCCAACTCACTGTGATCCCCTCTGACTCTGGCTCCAACTCACTGTGATTCCCTCTGACTCTGGCTCCAACTCACTGTGATTCCCCCTGATTCTGGCTCCAACTCACTGTGATCCCCTCTGACTCTGGCTCCAACTCACTGTGATCCCCTCTGACTCTGGCTCCAACTCACTGTGATCCCTTCTGGTTCAGACTCCTTCTCCGGGCCAGAGGCCTTGAATGCAATAATTATCTTAACTTGATATCCACTCGATGTATACAATGGACGACGGTACATTCGGGCGGCGAAGTAAAATGCTGAGTGGCCTTAATGACTGTTGTTATAGGGTACATGGTATTTAAGAGATCAGTGTCTGTTCCTATACTATGTAGAAAAAGAAATAGAAAGGTACACTTGCTGGATTCACCGAAACAAATCATTGAACCAGCCATAGGGAAAAGACCTGTATGGCACCGGGCATCTTTCCGGGGCAACCGTGTCCACTAGCCTATATCACAAGACTTTGATAAAAAGGCTAGTGGACGCTCTTGCCACGGGAAAGTGGGTTCCAGATGGCTTTGAATGCTGTTGTTGTTTTATTTCGTGTAGAGTAGATGGATAGTAGGAATAGAGTGTGCAAAAAGACATTTGAAATACTACACATACAAATTCAGCACACGTCAGAATCAAATATTGAGGTGTGTGTGTGTGTGTGTGTGTGTGTTTTGTTTCTAGCGCGTATTTATCAGACAAGGCTGGGAACCCATCATAGCATATTTTTCTCTGTCTGAAACTGAGTGTTCCTTTTTTCACGTCATTGCCTAAGGAGTGGCGGTCGGGTAGCCTGGTGGTTAAAGCGTTCGCTCGTCACGCCTAAGACCGGGTTCGATTCCCGACATGGTTACAATGTGTGACGCCCATTTATGGTGTCCCCCGCCGTGATATCGTAAAATCAAACTCACTCACTCACTCATTGCCTAAGGCGGTTGTATCAGCAATTCTACAATCCTCCTAATCAACAGGAACATATACCAACATATCCCAAGTAACAGATTCGGTGACAGTAATTTCAGTGATACACAATAAACAGAACTTGTAAAGCTTACTGTTTTCAAGGGACTGGTCATTTATTATAGGAGAGGGTGGGTCAGAGGGAATCAGGGGGAGGGTCATAAAATAATTCACATATTTGGGGGAGGATCATGAAATGAATATGCAAGGACATCGAGAGGGTCTTACAAAATATGACAAGCATTTTGGGAAGGTAATTATTCTCAGTACACTAGTGCATCACAAACCTCTGATCATCCAATAAATGACAGGTCCCTTAACCTTAAGGTCTATATATGTTTACATCCTGTTCAAGTAACTGGTCGTCTTCGGGGACAGTGATACCAAATACAAACAGTACTAGCATTCTATTCGATCTGTTTCTCTTTTTCACTGCATAAATATCGAAACAGCCAAAGCAGTGTTCGAATAGATGATGACTGATCATATCTTACTTTTGTATGTTGAATTCATTTAGACTCCCAGTGCAGTACAGGCTTATTTGTGTAACCCAATTCTCAGACACTGCGGCCTTGACATGAAAGCCGTATCGCCATGACCTGGAGCTGGTGGAATTTGTCAGCAGTGTGTGGGGATAAAGTGGGGACCTTGCTGACCTATTGCTTCATAGAATACAGTTGAAGCCAAGGAATGCGGAATACATGTTCTCGTGATCAGTTATATTTCGTCTGAGGGGAACATTTTACCGATGAAAAAACTAAAATTATTTATTACTGGCTGGTGTCTGGCCACTATAGCTGGATGGTGTCTGGCAACTATAGCTTGAGGGCGGCTGGCTACTATAGCTTGAGGGCGGCTGGCTACTATTGCTTGAGGGCGGCTGGCTACTATAGCTTGAGGGCGGCTGGCTACTATAGCTTAGGGGCGGCTGGCTAACATAGCTTGAGGGCGAAGGGCTACTATATTTGGAGGGTGTCTAACTACAATAGTTTGAGGGTGAAAAGCTACTATAGCTGGAGGGTGTCTAACTACTAAAGCTGGAGGTGTCTAACTACTAAAGCTGGAGGGTGTCTAACTACTAAAGCTGGAGGGTGTCTAACTACTTAAGCTGGAGGGTGTATAACTACTAAAGCTGGAGGGTGTCTAACTACTACAGCTGGAGGTTGTCTAACTGATAAAGCTGGAGGGTGTCTAACTACTAAAGATGGAGGGTGTCTAACTACTAAAGCTGGAGGGTGTCTAACTACTACAGCTGGAGGGTGTCTAACTACTACAGCTGGAGGGTGTCTAACTACTAAAGTTGGAGGTGTCTAACTACTAAAGCTGGAGGGTGTCGGGCTAAAAAAGCTGGGGGGTGTCTAACTACTATAGTTGGAGGGGGTCGGGCTACTAAAGCTGGGGTGTGTGTGTCTAACTACTACAGCTGGAGGGTGTTCACATACTAAAGCTGGAGGGTGTCTAACTACTAAAACTGGAGGTGTCTAACTACTAAAGCTGGAGGGTGTCTAACTACTACAGCTGGAGGGTGTATAACTACTACAGCTGGAGGGTGTATAACTACTAAAGCTGGAGGGTGTCTAACTACTAAAACAGGAGGTGTCTAACTACTTAAGCTGGAGGGTGTCTAACTACTAAAGCTGGAGGGTGTCTAACTACTTAAGCTGGAGGGTGTATAACTACTAAAGCTGGAGGGTGTCTAACTACTACAGCTGGAGGTTGTCTAACTGATAAAGCTGGAGGGTGTCTAACTACTAAAGATGGAGGGTGTCTAACTACTAAAGCTGGAGGGTGTCTAACTACTACAGCTGGAGGGTGTCTAACTACTAAAGCTGGAGGGTGTCTAACTACTACAGCTGGAGGGTGTCTAACTACTAAAGCTGGAGG